TCTGTCTAGATCAGACCCAGTAATGCCCACGTCTGCACATGATCAGGGAATCCTTCTGAACCTTGTTCAGCTGAGACATTAAACACCTACTGTCTTGTAGTCTATGAGGATGAGAATGGAATTCTTCCCAGCGTCCACATACTCCACGGCAACCTGGGCCTTGATGTCCATCACGATGATGTGGTACTGGCCATTAGCGCCTTTCCTCACCAGGGAAACATTCTGCAACGAAGCAGAGGAACATAAAAGGGAGGCAAGACAAAAACAGACAAAAACAATAGTTGTTTTCAGCGGATTTGGAAAAAAAACAGCAAAAGAAAAGCAATATTTATAGTGACCGTAACATGAATTTGTTATATTATATGATTTATGACAATCTGCTGGGTAAATCACTGCATGTGAAATATTTCTTACCTCATCAGCTATCGCTCCTACCAGAAGAGCTCCAAGTAGAATAAGGGCTTGGAAGTACTGAGAGATTATACAGAAAAGGCAAAAAAAAGAACATTAATGAGCAACCTATTCACATGCTTAATAACTATGTTAATATGCGCTCCTTCAAAATTTGTCTCCCGTTATAACACAATCAATTTCAAAATCTGCATGGGCAGAGTTGGGGGGGCACTCCCCCCCCACGCCAGTTGCCTGAGTCGAAATTGCACTTAATTGACTAAGCAGTCAGACAGACACTCGTGTTGATTACTTGCTTGTTTCCTATGCAGAGCATTCATGTTCTGTTGTGTGTGTAAGGAAACTTGTTGATTAACATTATAAAGCATTGTTGTAAAATTTTAAACATAAAATTGTTTTGTGTCCGACTGCCTCAATTTTTAACCTGGAAAATTATTTTGTTTCTGACCAGTACAACAGCTATGTAGCCCCTTGGGAATTCTCCCGAGTCTCCTGATTGGCCACTCCTGGCCTGGCTGCCTGTAACTGTTTAGGGATAAAATGCACTCCCCTTTCCCCCAAACACTAGTGAGCTGGCCCTGTGCATATTTCATCATGAGCAGTTCTGTACTTTAGGCATATTCCAGGTTATTCTTACCTTTGCCATTATAGTGTCTGTCAGTAAGGAGGCCTAGAATGAGTGCTCAGCCAGTACTGTCTGCTTCTGCCGGTCTCTCCTCTAACCCTTTAATACTCCTTCATTATCGAGGTCAGTTGTTTGTGAGAACCTGTAGCTCCACCTTTCTTGCCTTGTCTTGTTGACATCAATTGTTAGACAAATAACCAGAAACATCGGAAACCAATCAATTCAGCAGCTTATCAGAGCATAGAGATAAACGGACTGGTAAAGGTAAAGGAAACTGGGCCAGTTTTCGAGAAAAGGTGGGGATTGTTCACATTCTAAAAGTGATCAAGTCATTGGAATATCATAGATCACAGTACAGTATTACCATTCCAGTCCAATCAGTTTAATCTAGACTAAATGGTAAGTCATACATCCCCACATCCAAACAGATCTCATGACAAGCTTCCCTGTGGTGTGTCTGTGGCGTGATGCCAGTTTCAAATATTTATTCTTTTCTCCGCTTACGTTCCAGATTGTCAGGTTTGTGGGCATCTTGGGCACGGGAACGGGAACGAGGCATGGTGCACAAAGAAGGGGCGGACGACCCACTTGCGGCTCCAGCAAACAAAACAGGGTTTATTAAACTGAACTAAGAAAAACACAAGGAAGGGCTAACAAAATAAAAGGACCTCGAGGGGTCAAAACTAAACAGGGAGGAATAAACTAGACTAAGTAACACACATGGAAAAACTAACTAGAAAAGCAAGACACTAAAGTAAAATCCAACCATGGGGGAAAACCAGAGACAAGGGCATACCACAGACAAACGTAGACAGAGACACGAGCTTAGACAATAGTTTAGACACGATGAACCAGCGGGGAGCAGAACAAAGGCAGGAACTAATATACTACAAGGGGTAATGACTAACACAGGGCAGGTGAGACTGATTAACAAGGACTAGGGAAACAAGACACAGGTGAAACCAATTAACTCAAAGAAACTAACAATCAGGGAAACTAAGAACTAACCAAGAATGCATATATCAACACTAGGGAAGTACATAGGAATAACACAGGCAGGGGAACAAGAAACAAAACCAAAACCGATTACTAAATCAGACACCAGGGTTTAACAAGCACAAAGGAAAAAACCAGGGAGCTAAATACAAAGACAGAGGAGGTGGGATTCGAACACAAGACAAGAGGGAACTCAGGACCAAGGGGCAAACAGACAGCACATGCTTAATACATTGAGCCACGAGACCAGACAGGAGACAGGGGAGAACAAGGACTGACATGAAGGATGGAATGACCAGCACCACCTGCTGGTCAAACGGGGAAGGGGCACGGAAGGACCACAGTGGGGGGCTGACCCTGACACCAGATGACGTGACACTCTCACCCAGATCACGTCCTACTCCTTTATAGCTCAGCACACCAGGATAAAGCATTCCATAAGCCTGCCCACCCGATTAAACGGAGGCAACAAAGTGTCTCCATCCTTGTCAGGAACGCACAGCAGCGGTTCTCTTTCCTGCGGAGACTGAGGAAAGTCCTTCTGTCTCCACAGGTCCTGGTGACCTTCTAGCCCTGTATCATCGAGAGCCTCGGTGTGGTAGGGTAACTGCATTGTTTCTGATAGGATCTCCCAGCAGCTGGTGACTAAAACTTTGTCGCACATCACCGGTGCCCAACTCCTTGCCATTGAAGACCTCCAGCAGGTAGCACCTGCAGGGGGCACTCTGTGTTATCTGGGACTTCTCGCACCCTAGCCATGGTGTGATCATACTGCCACCATTTGGGAAGCACTACAGAATCCTCCGTGTCAGTACCAGCAGACTCAGGAACAGGGCTGCTAACCTACTAAATGCTTCTCCTTGGTGCTGAGCACACCTCCTCAGGTTCCGCTCCCTTAATCTCCACTCTTACCTACACGTCAAATCTCTCCTCTCCCTAACCCCAGCAGCTCTCAACCACTGAACACTATTGTTAAGAACAACTTGCAAATACAGATGCTCCTCTACTCATGAACTTTCAACTTACAAACTTTCAGACGTACGAATGAAGAGGACTGTAAGTCCAAATTGTGTTCCTTGGGCTCCCGTTTCCTGTCCTTGACAACAAACCATTTTTTTTCCCGCCAAATATGACTTCTGGCCGCTATTCCCGCCACACAGTCTTCCCAGCATCCTAGTTCTTTGTACTTGCGTACACCCTTAAAATAATGTTGAATAACCACTTACAAACATTTCAAGTTACAAATGGCCGTTCAGAATGTATCTCGTTCGTAAGTAGCGGAGCATCTGTAATGACTTGTATAGCTCAAATTACAAATCACTCGGGGCAGTGGTGGCCTAACATTTAGGGAAGCATGTGTGTTATTGAAAGGTTGCTGGTTTGAATCCCCAGCCAGCAAGGTGCTGCCCCCAAGCACGGCTTCCTGGGTGCTGGATTAGCTGCTCACTGCTATGTCACATATGGGTTAAACACAGAGGACACATTTCACTGTTGTGTGCTGTGGTGTGTCAACAATGGCAATTAATCACTTTTGCAATAACTCTCTATTACTGTACGTACTGACTCACCTCTCATGGTATGTTTTGTATATTCATAGTATCAAACAGACTGTGATTCAAGTGCTACACGAGTGCCTGAAAAGCCACACAGAAGCGGCAAATTAATCTTTCAAGGCCATAATGAATCAGATAACTTAAATATGTTCAGTACAAAAGTTTATTTTTGCAGTTCCACAACTTCAGACATTTACACACAATTTCTGTACCCAACACTCATACGATGCTTTGAAAAGCACTCAGGTCAATGCACTGCTACTATACAGTGACATCACCGTTCCTTGAACAAGAATCTCCACTTCTGAAAAAGGTCTCCAGGAGGACCAGTTATACAAAGGCTTTCAAACAAAAATCTTCATGTGCATTGCAAAACGTCACTGGGTACTTCTGCAGTGACAGCATGTACTACAGGGATTTAATACAGAGGTGAAGGATGATTATTAGTTCTGTTTCATCAGTCTTCATACTCGCTCCAGAGCCTCCAGCATAATGATACTGTTACCACGTATCACCTAGAAGGGGAGAAAGAAAAGAAAAATACTTCATAAGTATGCAGATACACCCTGACATCCTACTTCAGGAAATAAAAATCAGAGGTCTACTTCAAATATGGGTAAGACTCCTCAAAATGATGGACTGTGATTAAAATGTTTATTCAGGTGTGTTATCAGGGAGTTTTAAACTACACAATGGCCTCAGATAACACAGATAACAATCAGCACTAGCCTGCATAGATATTGGCGCAAAACACTGCAGGTCATTTTTATTTATATAGAGGAGGCTCCATGCAAATGTGTGATTTGAGTGGGGGTAAAAATTGCCATTGGTTGCTCCTTGGTGTGTTTCACGATCATGATCACCGGCCTTTGAGAAAGACCAGCCCTCACACAACCCACCCACCGGGAAAATTCCCAAACTTCTCAACGGCCAGACCGCACCTGCCATCAGCTATTGAGGAATTATGACTAGTAGAGCACATCAGTACTGTTCGATTATCCTGAGCAAACTGTCAGACTCAGGTTCCCTGAAGTGTTTACAGGCTTGGGAAGGTTTGAGGCTGGTTACACCATCCCCGTAAAAGAGGCTGCTAAACCCTGCGCCCTCACAACTCCACACAGAGTGCCAATTTCGTGAATGGACAGTTAGGGAGAAGGTGGAGGGCATGCAGAAAACGTTGTCACTTCACTGACTGAGCGACCTACAGAGAGGCTTGTGAGCATGGTGCCTGTTTCCCAGCCAGACAGAGAAAAATAGACCTGCATTGACCTAACTAAGCTCAGTGAAGCAGTACACAGGGATCGGCAGATATTTCCATCAGTAGAAGAGTCACTGGCACTGTTGAGCCTGTTGAAAGGAGCATCAGTTTTCACAAATGTGGATTGTGGCAGGTAGAATTTTACAGCACTTCCTTTGTCTTTGTTTTCTTTGTTTTTTGTTTATTGCAGGGTCGCCAACTGCATCTGGCGTGACAGTCTCGCTTTCTCATGCAAGAAATCTTACAGCATTATAAACTTAAAATTGGCTACATCAAAAGCATAGGGGCAGTTTGCGGACCCTACACTCTATTTACAAGGTAATAAAACTTTTACATACATGTAAATGCGTGTGCATGTGTGGGGGCAGTGTGTGGCTCAGTGGGCTAAGCCGTGTGCCTGTAATCACAAGGTCGCCGGTTCAAGCCCAGCCTCAGCACGTCTGCAGGTCCTTGAGCAAGACCCTCAATCCCCAGCTCCCTGGGCGCCACTACAGGTGGCTGCCCTTCGCGGACAGCTTGCTCTACAAAGAGCAAGTTGAGGGAGGCGTAAAAACAATTTCCCCACGGGGATCAATAAAGTACCTATTATTATTATGTGTGAGCAGATTTGTCCCGAACTAAAAATCTCACGCCAGCCAGCTGACAAGAATTGGCAACCCTGTTATTGTAAGTTTGTGTTTTTCTTTGTAACTTGTTAAATATGTCAGATATTTAACAATTTAGCTCAATGTTCAAGTATATCTTTAACTTGGTACATATAATACATTTGGTTTTAATACTACACAACTGTGCAAGCAGGCCTTTTCTGTATATCTGAGAATATATTGCTTTCTACTGTATATTCAGTGTGCTACTTATTTTTACATTTTTTCATGTAAATTTACACTCTTATCCAAAGTGATATACGCTCTTATCCAAAATGATATACGCTCTTATCCAAAGTGGTATACGCTCTTATCCAAAGCGGTATACGCTCTTATCCAAAGCGGTATACACTTCAGGAGCAATTGAAGATTAAGGGCCTTGCTTCAGCACACAGTGTTGACCCTAATGATTGAACTGGTGATTTTCCAAACAGAGGCACAGAGCCCCATCCCAATGAGCCACACACCACCCTCCAAAATGAATTGGTAAACAATGTCCTACATCCCTTTATTTAATAAAAAGGGGCACAGGACTGGAAAGATGGGTGGCACAGTGATGCAATGATTATCACTAATGCCTCACACCTCTGAGAGCTGTGTTCAAGTCTCTACCAGGGTCCCATGTGTGTGGACTGTGGAGTTTGTATGTCCTCCCCATATCCTCGTGGGGTTTCTGCTGGGTATTCTGGTTTCCCTCTGTGGTCCAAGAACATGATGAGGTTACCTGGAGTTCCCAAATTGCCCATGCATGTGTGAGTGAATGGTGTGTGAGTGAATGGTGTGTGAGTGAATGGTGTGTGAGTGAATGGTGTGTGAGTGAATGGTGTGTGAGTGAATGGAGTGTGAGTGAATGGAGTGTGAGTGAATGGAGTGTGAGTGAATGGAGTGTGAGTGTGCCTTGTCTTGGGTTGTTCCCTGCCTTACACCTGTAGCCTCTGTGACCCTGAACAGAACAAGCAATTACAGAAAATGGATGGACTGGAAATTCACTTAATTTTTAAGGGCCCAGCGATCTTTCTCAAAATGATGCTCCTAGTGCCTGGATCACATTGGTAGTGAGCATGAGTAAGAGACCTTAGGGTGTATAGTGTCAAAATAAAAGTCATAACAGGTTAAATATATGCATAATTTAGCAGCTTCAGTTAATGATAATGTTGGAGCTATTTTCATTTTATTACTAATTCCAATGAATAATTTTTACTTGTTCTCCAATGCAGAATTTAAACCAAATAAAGAAAATGACGACATTGAAAACAGCATTAAAATGTTCAGGTGACTGAATTTAGTACACTTTATTTGATCCCACAGCAGTAATTGCTTATTTCTCTGGCTCACCATTTAGTGTTATAAGCCAAAATAATGATTCTGTCTCAAATGAAGTCCAAGACCTTGTTAGTATTTTCCTCCCATCAGATGTCTCTTGTTAGTAATAGCTCGATCCAAAGCACATATGCACGATCCACCAGTTAAATAGTTGTCCATCGCAGAAGAAGAAATCCAGCATCATGCCTAGAGAGAAAGAGGATTATGTTCAGTCAGGCACATGGAGAGGGGGGGGGGGGGCTTCCCCCAACGTGTATATGCCTCCCTTAAAGGCATTAAATGCTGCTTTTTTACTTTCTAACTTTTTAGCAGGGGTGGCCACCGACCCCATCCCACCCCCCCCTCGGTGTCTTTCAAAAAAGTCCCTGCATGGCCATGATCTCAACCCAACCCCAAAACCTGTAGTTGAATTCAATTCAGGACAATTCAGTTTTATTTGTATTGCGCTTTTTCACAACACTACATCGTCTCAAAGCGCTTTACATTATCCCGGCCCAAAGTCCACAGCGAGCAAGCCAGAGTTTGCGAGGAAAAACTCCCTCGAAGGAAGAATCCTTGGGAGGAACCAGACTCAAAGGGGGAGCCCATCCTCCAGGGGGCAGCAGAGGGTGCCCAAACGTTACTGTTACATATATTGACATGATAAACATTGTCATTCAGAGTTGTTTGCTCACTTCTCCTCTGACTCCTACTTCCAGCAGCAATTTAGAAAAGAAACTGAGAATTTGAATTAAAAATGAAAAAATTGAATAAGCATTTTCTAAACACGGAGAAGCTTTGGTGTGTTGATGAGGTAATGAAGTAAAATCATCTTTGGTTGATTTGAAATGTCTATATAAATAAACTTCACCTTGCTCTTGATGCATGTTTTTGTGCTTGCAGAAACAATCTACGATGCCGTTAAGTCACCACAGTGTGGGACAGGTGCAGTGATAACATCTCACTGGGTTGACCTTTGTAGTAGGGAGTGTTAAGGTTGTGCTGCGATACCATGTGCAGCACGGAAGACCCAGAAGAACATAGTGTGTTTGTTTAGTCTCCGCTGTCTCCATTTTAACAGCCCCGGTAATGACCTCCTGAGAGGTGCTTAATGGGCTTCATGCCTCACCACTGATCAGTTTCTCTCCATGGCTCTGAACTCTTTCACTTTCGGAGCCCTAAATCACCACACTCACTGCACCAGGACTCGTACCTGATTGTCTCTGGGTCCAGTAGATAGGAAGGTTGTGGCAAACAGCTTGGACTGAGTCCCCCAGCATTGCCAGGTTCTTGACGGAGATATTGGTGGGAATGTATTGCTGTGGGGGGGCACTGGGGGGGTCCTGAGTCTGTTAGAAAGGATACATTTCACAAAGGCATTCTCTTCATGTATAATTCTGAGTTAAACAAACACACAGTACTAATACATACCGAATAAATACCAGCCTCACTTTTTAATGACAAGGGTACTTTAGTGAAGCTTACCTGAAGAGCCTAAAATGAATTTAGCAAGTTAATGATGTGATGTGATGTGATGTAGTTCGGAAATTACATAAAACTGTAAATCATTTTGACGGAAGTGTCTATAAAATGTACATTTTTGTAAGTAGTATCATGTTCCTATTGTATTGTCCTTGAAAACCATTGGGCCTCAAATCTGTATGTCCATTATTCTCCAGAACGTCACTACAAAGTCCAAATAAAGAGTAGAAAAGGAAATGTGTCCCTGACACCCTCTGTCACCTTGAGGTTCCCCAGCATCTCCTTCAGCTTGTTCATAGGGGGGAAATCCTGACTCATCTTGATGGCGTAGCAGGCCTGCTTCTCGAAGGACTTGACAGCCATATATCCCTGGATAGACAAATATCTGATGGATGTACTGCATCTGTCTAGATCAGACCCAGTAATGCCCACGTCTGCACATGATCAGGGGATCCTTCTGAACAGAGAGCCAAGATCTCACAGCAGTAAATAATGGTCATCAGAGTAACATGAAACTTAACGTCCCCTATGTGGCAAAATCTGTGCTAGAGAGCTTCACCAAGCAACGTTATATGGGGGAAGGAGCCTGCTGTTTGCTCAGTCACACCCTGAACTATGTAGGCAGCAAATTGACAGATGGCATTAGTGTAGAGCCATGAGGAGAGGAACCACAAGGCATCAAAATCCTGCACATCCATGCATGTAGGGGGCACCTCTGGTGAGGCTTGCTAACATTAGCATGAACTCCAAAAAGGAAACTATATTCAAATGACACCTTAGCTAATAACATTCCTCACCACAGTTCCTGTTACCGTTCCTCACTGTGAAAATAGCCACCTTGTTCAGCCGAGACATTAAACACCTACTGTCTTGTAGTCTATGAGGATGAGAGTGGAATTCTTCCCAGCGTCCACATACTCCACGGCAACCTGGGCCTTGATGTCCATCACGATGATGTGGTACTGGCCATTAGCGCCTTTCCTCACCAGGGAAACATTCTGCAACGAAGCAGAGGAACATAAAAGGGAGGCAAGACAAAAACAGACAAAAACAATAGTTGTTTTCAGTGGATTTGACAGCAAAAACAGCAAAAGAAAAGCAAAATTTATAGTGACAGTAACATGAATTTGTTACATTATACGATTTATGACAATCTGCTGGGTATATTACTGCATGTTAAACATTTCTTACCTCATCAGCTATCGCTCCTACCAGAAGAGCTCCAAGTAGAATAAGGGCTTGGAGGTACTGAGAGATTATACAGAAAAGGACAAAAAAGAGCATTAATGAGCAACCTATTTACATGCTTAATAACTATGTTAATATGTGCTGCTTCAAAATTTATGTCCCTTTATAACACAATCAGCGGCAAAATGTGACTCTACAGGATTTTTGGCAAACTAGCACGACTACAGCAGCACAGTGGTTAGGTCTCTGGCTGACGTCTGAGGAAAGACGCTGCCGTGGTATCTTTTGAAAAGATGCCTGATGAACACAGGTCCAGGAAAGTCACTCCGGGGTAAATGGCTGATTCAACATCATGGGGAGTCACAAGAAACCAAGAGCATCAAGAAAATCCGTGCCTCGGAAATGGATGGTATGGTATATATACACACACAATCACACATTGAATCAAAACTTGCCATTGAAATCCAAATTTGAACAGGCACCGTTAGTCAATGTCACTATAGGTTAGGTCTTCTCCTAGTCCAGGACACCCATGACAGGCCTGGGGCAGGGGTTCGACACTAGCACACCCCTGTCAGTAATCAGCCGTCAGTAATGTTTCTGTGTACTGATAAAATGCTGCCCCCCCCCCGCCATATACTAGTGAGCTGACTGCAGTTCTGAATGTTAAGCATATTCCAGGTTATTCTTACCTTTGCCATTATAGTGTCTGTGAGTAAGGAGGCCTAGAATGAGTACTCAGCCAGTACTGTCTGCTTCTGCCGGTCTCCCCTCTAACCCTTTAATACTCCTTCATTATCGAAGCTAATTGTTTGTGAGAACCTGTAGCTCCACCTTTCTTGCCTTGTCTTCTTGACATTTATTGTTAGACAAACAACCAGAAACATCAGAAACCAATCAATTCAGCAGCTTATCAGAGCATAGAGATAAACGGACTGGTAAAGTTAAAGGAAACTGGGGCAGTTTTTGAGAAAAGGTGGCGATTGTTCACATTCTAAAAGTGATCAAGTCATTGGAATATCATAGATCACAGTACAGTATTAACAATCCAGTCCAATCAGTTTAATCTAGACTAAATGGTAAGTCATACATCCACACATCCAAACAGATCTCATGACAAACTTCCCTGTGGTGTGTCTGTGGCGTGATGCCAGTTTCAAGTACAGTATTTGTTGTTTTCTCCACTAATGTTCCAGATGACGTGACACTCTCACCCGAATCACGTCCTACTCTTTTATAGCTCAGCACACCAGGATAAAGCATTCCATAAGGCTGCCCACCCGATTAAACGGAGGCAACACGTTCCTTTTATGGACTCCACAAGACTCTGAAGGTGTCCTGTGGTATCTGGAACCAAGACTATAGTGGCAGATCTTTTAACTCCTGTAAGTTGCAAGCAGGACTCGTTTCTCCAGCACATCCCACAGATGCTCAATCGTAGACTCAATCGGGCAGCATTTTATCAGTACACAGAAACATTACTGACAGCTGACTACTGACGGGTGTGTTAGTGTTGAACATGAGCATCAGAACTGGACCATGGAGCAATGGAAGAAGGTGGCCTGATCTGAGGAGTCACGTTTTCTGTTACATCATGTGGACAGCTGGGTGTGTGTGTCATTTAAGTGGGGAAATGTTCTGCTGGGTAACCTGGCATTCAAGTGGATGTTACTCTGACACATATCACCTACCTAAACATTATTGCAAACCAAGTACAGCACTTCATTACAGTATTCTCTGGTGGCAGTGGCCTCTTTCGGCAGGATAGTGTATCCTGCCAGACCATAAAAAGTGTTCAGCAATGGTTTGAGGAACATGGAAAAAAAAAGTTGAATTTGCTTCCAAATTCCCCAGATCTCAATTTGATTGAGCATCTGTGGGATGTGCTGGAGAAACGACTCCTATCCCTGGAGGCTCCTGCTGGCATGTTACAGGAGTTAAAAGATCTGCTGCTGAAGTCTTGGTCCCAGATACCACAGGACACCTTCAGAGCCTTGTGGAGTCCATGCCTCAATGGGTTAGAGCTATTTTGGTGGCATGAGGAGGACCTACACAATACTAGGCAGGTGGCTTTAGTGTTATAGCTTATCAGTGTATATTTACAGTATACATTTCAGTATTTATGGCATGCACAGCTTCCTGCTCACCTTCTATTCTGCTCACTGTTTGCATTATTGGCAGATGCTAAACTACATTTCATTCCCCTTGTACTTGCACAACCACAAAGATTTATCTGACAAACTGATTTGAGTGCTACACAAATGTGTCTGAAGTTCCACAATCTTTCAAGGGCAAAAAATGTTCAGTACAAAATTTTATTTTTGCATACATTTACACACGATTCCTGTTCCCAACACTCATACGATGCTTTGAAAAGCACTCAGGTCAATGCACTGCTACTATACAGTCACATCACCGTTCCTTGAACAAGAATCTCCACTTCTGAAAAAGGTCTCCAGGAGGACCAGTTATAAAAAAGGCTTTCAAACAAAAATCTTCATGTGCATTGCAAAACGTCACTGGGTACTTCTGCAGTGACAGCATGTACTACAGGGATTTAATACAGAGGTGAAGGATGATTATTAGTTCTGTTTCATCAGTCTTCATACTCGCTCCAGAGCCTCCAGCATAATGATACTGTTACCACGTATCACCTAGAAGGGGAGAAAGAAAAGAAAAATACTTCATAAGTATGCAGATACACCCTGACACCCTACTTCAGGAAATAAAAATCAGAGGTCTACTTCAAATATGGGTAAGACTCCTCAAATGATGGACTGTGATTAAAATGTTTATTCAGGTGTGTTATTAGGGAGTTTTAAACTACACAATGGCCCCAGATATTCTGCCGCTGCGACGTCAGTGTCCTCAAGCGTGGATTTCTGAAATCCTACTAGAAAAAGAGCAGAGAATCTCTGAGCCTGCAGATTAACAATCAGCACTAGCCTGCATAGATATTGGCGAAAAACACTGCAGGTTATTTTTATGTATATAGCGATTGTGACAAGAACACTGTCTGTGCAATGTATGCATATTTTTTAAATGCATGCACAAATATGAGTACAGGTATATCTGAATGCTTCTCTGTGCATATCCCATCTTGCTATCCTTTTTGACACAGACAAACGTACATTGAGTTGAGAGTGAAGCTTGGGGACAGGTGATTTATCTGCCCCACCCCCCACCATTAAAGGCCTTGCTTAAGGGCCTGATGGTGATTTCACTATTCTGCTGAGGCTGGGGATTGAACCGATGGCCTTTCGATCACAGGCAGAGGCCTAACCCAGTGAGCCACATACCACCCTGCTAAGGCAAATGAACAGGACTGACCACCATGCCAATGGTGCTCTGCTGCCCCCCAGAGGCCATCTCCAGGCAGTCGTCCATCACCAGGTTCATGAAGGGGTCAAACCCACGCAGGATCCCCTGGACATGGCGACCGCCGTTCAGCTTCACTGTGAGGGGGAGGGGAAGTGAAAATGTTAGCGAGTCAAAGGTTAACATTCCACACACTTCAAAAGATCAGTGAACCCTTGCAGCACGTTTTGCTTCGGAGGCTATGCCATGGTATAGTGTTGGCAAATAAACCTCAGGAAAAACACACTGACTAAGTAACAGTTGTGTCACCAGATATCCCTCAGATGAGCAAGTTCTGTGATCACCAAGACTGCCAGCACTCTCATCCTTCAGCATGCTGCCCTGTTTATCACATCTGACAGGGTTTCTGTGGTTAAAACTAGCCTGCTAAGGCAAGGGAAAAGCAAATGGCACCAAATTAACCTTGAATGGCTGCAGGCCACGCTGGTGAGGAGAGTCACACTACAAACTTAACAAAACTGAAGCAGCTCCAGCTCTGGATATGTTGACAGTCCCATTATATTTCCAAGAGTGGGCAGGACTCTGGGCGTCAGCAGACCAGAAAGCAAGCAGAAAACAGCACCTCCAGATTGGTTATCATAATACTAACACACAAGTCAATCATATCTGCCTGACTGCACACATATGGGTGAGTTCACTTCCCCAGTGATAAGTGCCACTTTAAACCATCACATCATTAGTTACATGTTTATAAAAGCAAACAGAATGGGGCCCTTAATCGACTGGCACTGTACTGTGCGTGACTCAGTGGTTAGACAGCTGGCTTCCCCTCCCTCTGGGACAGACGGCCATGGGTAGAATCGTGTGAAAACTCTTCCTCTGGCACATCATGTCACTTAGGCCTGTGCGACAGCCTTCATCATTCCTGATTCAGCAGTCTTGGTAGGACTGAGCATTAAATATCCTGAGGAGTCAAATCAGCACAAAACACCATACTCACAGGAAAGCTTCTTGTCCATGAACCTGAAAGGAAACGTAGAGAAAATTATGAATGATTACCTCATATTCATCTTAAATTACACAGAACAGACCATGTATTCAGAATCTGTGTGTCATTTATCTATGATCACATTAAAAATCCCCTGAACTGTATATTCTGACTTTGGGGATATTTTAAACATGGGTGTAGACATATTCAATCTGTGCGTTGCTGCAAAAGGCAGGTTATACTTTACTGTGAGATCTTTAATCTGGGGTCTGTAGAGCCCAGAGAATTGGCAAAATGTCGATATTATCTGGTTCACACAAACTAAATATTGCACGACCATCCCGCTGAGTTACAAGAGAAAAAGCACCGCCCATCCTTAATTACGATTTAAACTTGTGCGGTAGGGAGTTCCTGGACCTTTTTTCCATTTGGGTGGTCCCTGGTTTAAAAATATTAGAAAACGAATACTGCATAATGCTACTATACACATTTATGTAAAATTAGGGACACTGAGTCCAGAATATATTTTTCTAGAATATGTATTTTTGTGGTGGGGGGGATCCTCTGGTCAACTAAATAACTATTATAAAATCTTTAGCACGTCCCTCCGGTAACAGGTTAGAAACCGTTAGGACTTCAGGACTAGGGGTAGTTAGATGGATACTTTATTGATCTCGAAGGAAGTTCAGGCATCCAGTAGCGCAAACACACACTAATAAAATACCGCTCAACAATAATACATAAAATAAAAGAATAAAGACCCATCTTATGAATTTCGCGAATTACACACAAGAAATTGAACTCTGCAATTGACACTTTTCTTTCAAAAAAACATTCTATAGTTGAATTTATGGCGAGAGCATTTAGGAAAAAATGAGAGAAAATAAAAATATAAAAACGAGCCGATAGAAAAGATTGCAGGATAAAACGAGCAATTTAATACCACCTTTAGTCATCATTGTGTCTGAATTTGTTGTATTATAAATGTTCTTTGTTCAGCCAGCTTAGTAGTTAGCAACTTGGCTAACTGGTCTATTCACCGACAGTCTGTTTCCCAGAAAAATTACATTTACAAATGCCGAAAAAGACTTAACAACAAGAAGTACACTTACTTCTTCAGCTCGGGAGGATGTGCTTTGCTCATGTTCGCGTCTTTCAGAATAGAACACAGCTAGTAAACCAAAGGTTTGCAAACCACGCGCCGAGACACACAGAACGATCAAACGACGCCGGCCGGAAGTGAAAAGGCCCGGGCGCGCTTTTCGTGCGTCATAATGTTTCCGCTTCCGGTTAAGTTTCCGTTAATCAGACGGGAACGTATTCTCTCATTCCTCTGAATTCGTTACGATCGTCGCGAAGCTTTGTTTTATATTTTATTGTCATTAGGAATGTACTAGTATGTAGTGTTGTTTTTTTTACAGTAGGTACTTTGGCGCACAAACAATCAATGATATTTGCAATGAAAACATAGTTAGGTTTGTGTCACCTGTTAACTCATTTCATAACAGATATAGCAATTTTCCAATTTTAACGGAACCCTTGCAATTTTATTGTCTAATATTTGTAACTCCTGTTAGCAAGAGAACTTTTACAAAATGTATAATAAATACAGAAAGAAAACATTTGCCTTATGTAACAATTAATATTAAATTCAACAAGCTCTAGGCTTCATGACTGGGGTTCACCATGTAGGAGTGAATGCAAGAGGAAGCCTGCGCATGAGGAGGAGCACATAGGAGAACATTTGATGTGACAGTGAAATTCAAAGTACCTAGATGGACATTTTGCTGAGTGGGCTCCCTATGGTAGATCTTGTGGCCCCTAAGAATTGCTGGACGATTGCTGTCGATCAGTCTACTAGTTTGTGATGCGAAGGTTATTTTAATTATCCTTAATTCCACTAACAGTAGAAGATGAATGAGTTAATCATAGGACCTCAGTGAGGTATACTGACCTATGCTTCCTTGTCACATGATAGAGTATGTCCATTCTACTTCGCTTATTGTTGCACAGTATTAGGTTGTTGCGATGTATGCTATTTCTAGTTACTGAATGGGAGTTGGTCTTTTGGGTCATTTTTCTAATGCTGCTTTTGGTTTCGTAATACTGCCAAAATAGTGAGGAAACAAAGGCATTGATGTATAATCTTTTTGACGGTTAATCATAGGAAAGCGAGTTTTTTAGGTGATGGTATCGTATGTATTTTTAAGCAACGTTGCATTTTTCTAATGTTGCAATATAGCCTAGTATGTCAAAGTAGAAATGAGCTAAACGTTATGGCTCATATCTCTAAGCTGTATTCAGAATTTTAAAGTAATTCTACTATGGATATGAATAGTTCCCAGACATATGTCATTCTTCCTTTTTGGAGACGCCTTATCTGTTTCTCAGCTGGTGAACAAAAAAATGGAACAGTGTTTTGACCACTCGAACAGTCATATTAACTCCTTGATATAATCCTATGGTTCGTCTATGCATGCTAGCAAATCAAAACGTTTTCCGCTCTCTTTGTACTCTTCCAGTGCTTAGAATATACATGATCCAGAGATTCCCGCCAATACATTCATGACTTGTATCACAGCCACTTAAAGAAATCTGACAGACCAGTTAATGTAAGCTGGAATCCAGTGAGGAAACTTTTCCATTTTGCCGTTTGCTTAACGACAAAAGTTACCTTTCTGCCATAACGCGATGACAGTTTCATTGTTGCATAAAAGAGGAATAAAAAATCTGTTGATATCTCTTGAAAAATCCTTCAGCAATTCATGCTGTTACCATTTTGCGGTAAAAATATATCCTGAAAAGAGACCAGAGCGCTTAACCGGGGATGAGCGGCGCCGTTATTAAAAACAGATCACGTACAACAGCTGGGAGTGTATTGTTTTCATTGAATTATAATTTATTACAAATGACTGCAACAAATACAGTAATTAATTGTCATGGGGTTGTCGTATACGGTCATTTATTCAAGTGAAATAGGGAATCAGATGACGTGTTTTGAGGTGGCAAAAAAGCAGTAATTTTTTCCATATGACTATGATTCCTTTCACCACTGAAAAAAACCTCTCCGTCTCCGCAGACTTTCGGTTTAAATCTGTTAAGATCCACAAAACCCCTCCGATCGGTTCCTGGTGGTAACCGGGGTCTCGCTGCCTCCAGCTGTCAGTAACAGGCAGGCTTTAATATCTCGGAGCGTTCAGCTTAGCGCCAGATACCGCAATGAAGACAGCGCTGCTTATTATAATCATCTGCATATGTTGGAGCAGATGCTGGGGTAAGTTTCTGTTGTTTTTCTTATGTGTTTGTAGGGTTTATTGATGCTGTATTGTTAACTCTTGTCGGAAATTATGTTTTGGAATTTTGAAGCTAATTAAACAGGGGCACACTACTACTAGTATATAGTTAGATAGTTAATGTAATATAGTCTAGTTAATCAAAATTAATATTGATTGAAAACAAGGCCGTAATTATAATAAGCGAGATGAGTGAAATTTACTACGCAGTAATCTGTTACTATCCTACAGGATCTTGTAGATGTCATCCAAATTCACCAATGGTTATAAAACAAACCTCTTGAAAATGATAATTCAATGTTTTTCTGAAGTTGCAACCAATGACTACTTAACTAAGATTAAGTCTCCCTTTTTAATGTAAATATGTGTTTTTATTATTGGTGAATAATTTCTCCAGATGGTCTCAAGACTGTAAGTTCTTAGTTCTATGACATAACTTACCTTGGAGACTAAATGAATAATGTGGTAACAAGAAGTGAAAAGGCTTTCTTTTACGATAGTGTTGGGATTATGTCTTGTAATATGCCTTAAATTTTAGCAACAACTGCGTAGAAATCTTATCAGTATTAATTACATTTAAGGTATACTTAAAGATTGTTTTATGTCTGCCATTGTGTCTGTTTTTGTTTGAGCACACATACGCACATTTTCTGGTGATGTAATATGTGTCAGACGTGGTTACGGTTTCTCGGTATGTGAGGATGTAACACATTCTAGCACTTTCCCGCATACCTGTGTGTAGGTAAGAAGGTGCGCTGGTGCACGGTGTCAGCGATGGAACAGAGGAAGTGTGCCGAGCTGGCAAAGGCCCTGGCAGGGGTGCTGCCCCCTGCTGCCTTGGCAGCCTTTGGCAGGCTGTCCTGCGTTCGCACCTACAGCACCGACGACTGCATTAACAAGCTGCAGGTCAGTCTGTACCCTGCCTGGACACCAGACATTACACCATGTGTGGTTTGTAACTGAACTAACACTTTCTCTAAATGAAGGGTGTCAAACTGCAGTCCTGGAGGGCCGGAGCCCTGCACATTTTTGGGTTTCCCCTCATTTAACAAAGCTGATTCAACTCCTTATGCCAATTACCACACAGCTCTTGAGCTGAATCAAGCTACACAGGGCCCCGCCCTCCAGGACTTCAGTTTGACACCCCTGCTCCAAATGATTTAGGAGCAGAGGTGGGTAATGTAGGTCCAGAGACTAAAAGTACAGACCAAGATTTTTTTTCAACCAACCAGTTGAGTATAAAGAGTCGCACTCACAGAGTACTCAACTAGTTGGTTGAAACAAAATCTTGGTCTGTACTTTTAGTCTCTGGACCTACATTACCCACCTCTGGTTTTAGTCTCTGGTTTTACTCTCTGGACCTGAGCTACTCACTTCTGTTTAGGAGGGTTTATTGCTGTCATATATTTGATCAATGAGCTTTGAGGCAGGTTTCCATGGTGACAGCTGCTGTAGCTACAGGCTAGGAGAACCATGTGATGGTCAGGTGGCCTCAAGTCTGAACACTGAATTGGAACTGTACAGAGTGGAGTTAACATCTGCGCAATGAGCTCTGCTGCATTACTGCTGTGATTTTACCCTCAGGCTAACCGTGCAGATGCCGTTACCCTGGACGCGGGGGAGGTTTACACTGCCGTGAAGCAGTTTGGCCTCACTGCAGTCGCCAAGGAGATCTACAGTGATGGTATATGCACAGAGATACACCTTAACGAAGTAAACGTCATATTTTTTTATTCTCAAAAAATGAACTACATCCAGCAGGTGGAGCAGCAGTTAATGGCCTGAACTCACAGCCAGAAGTGAGAACTGATAATGTTTGTTTTACCTTTGGTAAATTTCATTGGAACCCACTGATCAGAGGTCGCAGGCGTAAACTGTGCATCTCACTTATGGGAATTGTTAAAGTCACATGGCCCAGAAATGTAACCGACGACAGCTTGAATGCCAGTCAAACAAGAAGACAAAGCAAACAGTCTTCCAGCTGGGGGCTTCTCTGCTGAGGGGGCCAGATCCAAAGCAATGCTGACAAAGCTAAGGAATAGCTTAGAGCATGACATCTGTGATCTGCGAAACCGCTGGAGTGTTTAAACCATGCATGAGATAGGCGCTGATGTATAACTGTAGATAGTAGTGTGTCATTGCCTTTTTTAAGGGTGAGATGCAATGCACTGACATGTATGTAATACACCAGATGAGCATTATTAGAAGTGTATTTGACAGTGTTCATATGCTAATGCAGGGGTCTCCAACTCCGGTCCTGGAGAGCTACTATCCGGTAGGTTTTCTGTTCCACTTGGCTTCTGATGAGCCACATCTGTTCCTGGTATATACCTCAGAACAGGTGTGGCTCATCAGAAGCTGGGTATGATAGAAAACCTACTTACCTTACATTAATGATATTGACACGAATACATACAGTAAACTGGTTAAATTTGCAGACGACACTAAGGTGGGCGGGGTAGCAGATACTAATCTAGCAGCAGAGAGGCTTCAACGGGATCTGGATTTAATTAGCGAATGGGCTGATACTTGGCAGATGAAATTTAACACAGATAAATGTAAGGTAATCCATGCAGGGAGCAGAAATATACAGTACAGATATTTTATGGGTTCCACTGAAATAAAGGTAGCTGATTACGAGAAAGATCTCGGTATGTATGTTGATGCTTCCATGTCCCACTCTCGCCAATGTGGGGAAGCAATAAAAAAGGCGAACAGAATGTTGGGTTATATCTCTAGATGTGTGGAGTTTAAGTCAAGGGAGGTGATGTTACACTTATATAATTCCTTGGTAAGACCCCACCTAGAATACTGTGTGCAGGTTTGGTCACCATACCTCAAGAAGGACATTGCTGCCTTAGAAAAGGTGCAACGAAGAGCTACGAGAATGATTCCTGGTCTTAGAGGAATGTCTTACGAGGAGAGGTTAGCGGAACTGAATCTGTTCAGCCTTGAGCAAAGGAGACTAAGGGGGGATATGATTCAGGTCTATAAGATTCTAACGGGTCTGGATGCTGTTCAGCCAAATGACTATTTCAATATTAGTCTAAATACTAGAACTCGTGGCCATAAGTGGAAATTAGCGGGAGAACATTTTAAAACAAATTTGAGGAAGCACTTCTTTACACAGCGTGTAGTCAGAGTATGGAATAGTCTTCCTGCTATTGTAGTGGAAGCTAAAACCATGGGTTCCTTTAAATCAGAGCTAGATAAGATTTTAACAACTCTGAGCTATTAGCTAAGTTCTCCCCAAACGAGCTTGATGGGCCGAATGGCCTCCTCTCGTTTGTAAATTTCTTATGTTCTTATGTTCTTACTGGACGGTAGCTCTCCAGGACCGGAGTTGGAGACCACTGTGCTAATGAATCCCCCTTTTCCCTCTCAGGGAGCTGTGTCATGGCCGTGGCCGTGGTCAGGAATGGAGATCTCGATGTGCGCTCACTGAGGGGCCGACGGAGCTGCCACAGTGGGGCCCGATGGACTGCTGGCTGGAGCCTGCCCTTGGGCTTCCTGTTGTCACGTAACTACCTGCCCTGGGCGGAGGAGCAGCCCCTCAGTCAAGGTGGGGCTCCAAGAGGGGACAGCAGCAGGACGGGGCCACTATTGGCTGAGAGGAAAAGCAGCAGGAAGGAGTCCCTATTGGCTGAGGGGGAGAGCGGCAGGAAGGGGCCACTATTGGCTGAGGGGTAGAGCAGCAGGAAGGGGCTGTTATTGGCTGCGGAGGAGAGGGGCAGGAAGGGGCCACTATTGGCTGACGGGGAGAGAGATAGGAAGGGGCTGTTATTGGCTGAGGGGGAGAGCGGCAGGAAGTGGGCGCTATTGGCTGAGGGGGAGAGCAGCTTTGAAAAGTTCTTTGTTATAAACGGCTCATTTGTATTCTGTGCCTGTTAAAGTACCACATCAGCCTTGTTTCCTTCTGACTTCAAATTGTGAGCCTTCTCAATAAATCTCAAATTTATCGCCTAAAGTGCCCACCTTTGACTGTCCTGGCAGCCGTCAGTGAGTTCTTCAATGCCAGCTGCATCCCGGGCTCCGCAACCATGGCGACCAGCCTTTGCACCCTGTGCCAGGGGGAGAAGTCCTATGTGCGCCATCACAACTTCCACTGTGAGACCTCCCACAACGAGCCCTTCTACAGCAGCCAGGGGGCGCTCAGGTGTGGGAATGACCATGTTTATTATCATGAGTATGTGTACACAATACAATGATGTATTGTGTGGTATGAATTAAACCAGCTGTATACAGGGATCTTCCTGCTCCCTCACAGGTGCCTCCAAACTGGAAAAGGGGATGTCGCTTTTGTGGACCATGTAGCCCTCACCAGCATCCATGGTAGGACTGTTCATTCATGCTGTAAAGGCTGTTTCAGTTGTCTTATTACCTATGTGTTTGTTTTTAAGCTTTGCCACTATATCTAGTATTATATAGTATTTCCCAACCAGTTTTGGGATTTGCTCTTCAGGGACAGGCCCACCTTTAATGATTTAGGAGCAGAGGTGGATAATGATCTAAAAACCTTGTCAATTGCCCTTAGAACATGCTCATGGGGTCATGGGTCACCTGGAACAGGAGACCCATGGACTGGAGCCACACTGACTTAATGAAAGATACCTGGGCTTTACTAGAAAGAGCTGTTTACTCAAAAACCATCAATCCCTCTCATTGACAGAGGATGAGAGAGAAGATTACAGACTGTTGTGCACTGATGGATCAAGGGCCCGCCTCGGTGAATTTCAGCATTGCAATCTTGGTCGGGGGCCAGGCAGGGGCGTTGTGACACGCTTTAACTACCGCACAATTGCCCGGAAGTTTCTAAATGCAGTGCAGGTACTGTCTAAGGAATGTATTCCTACAGAGGATAGGCTTTGTTAGTCACTCTCATTACCTTCTCAGTATTGTTCCAGACTCTTGGAATACTCTTCATTATTTATCACATAATGAAGTCGCTTACCACAAACCATAGCTTTATATTTTCTTCTATGATTTACATAGATAACTCACGTCAGTAATTCTGGCTAACTTCTCTGGAGTTCAACGATAGCTTTCTCTGTGACTACTTTTTGTATTATTCACCTCCAAAACCACTGCGCCCCCTGTTGGTCTAGTCCGTGCCCCCTTTAATATGTTTCTGTTCTGCCAGACGGCATTTGGGCGACAGGGGCGGGCCAGGCAACGCTTCCAGATTTTTGAGTCCGCCTCCTACGGCTCACGCAACCTGATGTTCCAAGATGCGACCAAGAAGCTGGCCATCCTGACGGACGACAGTGACATCAGCCAGGTGCTTGGACTGGACTACGTGGCCCTCTTAAAGGGGCTGGGCCATGAAGGTACCTGCATGGGCTTGCCAGATATACATGTACCATGGGATGCGCTTCGATTTGAAAATTACCTTTAATGATGCTACATTCCTGTGACTTTGGTGCATCATGTGACCATGCGTGTCACACAGGGAGCTCACTGCAGGACAGCGTGATTCGCTGGTGCTGCATCAGTGCTGCTGAGCTGCTGAAGTGTGAGCGGTGGGCCCTGAGCATAAAGTCGGACCCGCTGGTGTGTGTCAAGGCATCTTCCATGAGCAATTGCATTGAGAAGATCAAGGTAAGACAGGCATAAGTAGTGATGGCCAAATGAAACTCCATGAACCATTTGCTGTATTTTTTTGATGCCACTAGATGGTGCTCTTGGCTTACTTTGGGACATTCTTTCAGCCCTTTTATGAACAGAGAGCACCATCTAGTGGGGTCAGAAAATGCAGCAAGTGGTTCATGAAGCTTCATTTGGCCATTAGTACGCATCAGCATTTTAAGGTTGGTAATTAAACATGACTGAGGCAGACTTCCTGTTTAGGTTCAACTACATCAACTAGACTACCAGTCAAAAGGTTTTGCACACTACTACATTTTCTACATTTGCATGTTACTCATTTAACATTTACTATGAATACACTCAATATTCTTTGCTAACACTTAAATTAACATTATATTCACAATTTCAGTAATTTTATTAGCAATGAAATGTCATATCTTTGATTCATCAAAGTAGCATCTTCTAGCAATTATAACAGCAGAGAAAATTCAAGTCATACTTTCTACAAGAGACATTAAACACTGCTATTGATATTTCATGGGATGAAATGGTTAAGTAGCACATTTAAAGTTAAAGGACAGCCTGGAATTTGGCTGCCATCACCACACAACCAGTTAATAGGATGTCAGACACGCTCTGTTACTTGTCTTATATTTTCATTTACAGTTGTGCATTCAACTTTCCAATGCTTAACAAGAATAATAAAATCTGTAGTTTATGAAATAAATGGAAAAGTGGCAAAAACTTTTGACTGGTAGCATATGTCAGTATAAGAGCTGCCCATGGCAGGATCCTGGGCAGAGCCAAGTAACGGCGAGTTTATTAGGGGGCAAAATAATGTGAACATTAGACTAGAGGAACTCAATTATTTTTGCCAAAAAATGCTGACTCATCTGAATTCGTTTTGAGGGCAGAAATGGACCAAATATGACATCACCCTCAGTCTTATAGGATTGGTAATAAGGAGCCAGTTTTAGGTGTCAGGTCACACTTTGGTTTACACGGCTGAAATCTGTGCTCAAGCAGTTCAGGTCAACATCTTACACACTTTGGACTTTAGCCTTTTGGTGACAAGCCAAAGTCCTTCACCACTTCACACCTGCTGTGTCAGAGAAAAATCAGTGTTACTGTGGATATCCGGTGCCCATCTTCAGCAAGTACTTTACATTTTTTTCCTTGAAAAGAGTAGAATTTGTGACACATCCATTTCAGCACACAGCAGCCTGAGCAGAGCGTCTGTCTCCACAGAGAGATGAAGTTGATGCTGTTTCACTGGACGCCACCCATTCCTTCATCGCTGGGAAATGCGGTCTGGTGCCAGTTGCCACAGAATACTACGGTAAGACCAGTGTGTGTAATGGGAGGCCATCCTAAGGCCCGCTGTCTTCTGGGTCGTTACAGCATTGAGGATTTTCATGATGGCAGTGAAGCTGGTATGTTGGGCTGCACAATATCATATCATATGATAAAATCACAATTATATGGCGCATGTGAAACAAGCTTCAGGGCTTTAAATGAAGACTATAAACATTTGTCCAGACACTGACTTTTTGATACTATACAGACATTTTCATATGCCCATTATTTGATAAGCAGAGGGCCAAACATATTAATGAGATCTATATTGTGATGGCCAAAAGTTAGTAATCTATATAAATTGTTATGTTATGTGTGTATTGTTATGTTTAATAAATGTGTCAGACTTTAAACTGTATGTTTTGGGGTGAAAGTAAATGTATACTGTATAGTACTGAAAAGCAAATGTTTACGTCTGTCATCTGAAGCCCTGTGGCCTGTACTACGAAGCAGGGCTACTGGCTAATTGATATCATGCAGCCCTAATGGGATGTTAGTCCTTCATGCAGTCAGTAGGCCTTGGGGCAGGAGGTCTTCATCAACAAGAAGGCCTCAGTTCATTAGATGGTGGACTGGATGGGGACTTGTTGGCTTTTAGTAGATTTGTTCATTCGTCTGCTTCTAAGGGGAGCAGTGTGTGACATCAGAGGACAAGAAAACAGGAACAGCACACTTCGAGAGCGACGGTGAGATGGAGTTCCGACAAAGGGCGTCGGTACTGTCAGTGATTTGTTTATACTCGCTGTGGCCATCCCAGGAATACTGGAATATTCTGCAGATGACAGTGCATGTATGTAGGCCGTGCGCGCAGTGCACTGAGATCATGTGACCTGCGTCATACCCACGTTTGTCACTCCAGTGCTGCCAGCTGTGTTCTCAGTGGCGCTGGCTCGGCGCTCCACCAGGGGCGTGTCGCTTAGCAACCTGATGGGGCGACGCTCCTGCCATGGTCACATGTACAGCCCTGCTGGCTGGTTGCTGCCTGTCCAGCACATCATCGGCGATCAAGAGAACAGCAGTGCCCCCTGTGACCCCAGTACAGGTACGGCACGCACACAGACAGGCGTCGACAGCTCCACATAAATGTGCTCATGAACACAGCGTCACAAACTGTATAATTACCATCAAATGTGCACAGATAAACACATTATCTGTCTGTTTTTATGGGTGACCTAGAATTTAGATAGAAAACAAGGTCCAGATGTATTCTCTCCCAAATTAAACTCTCATGTTCGCTATAACTCAACGAGAACCAATTCCACTTCCAGTTTCATAGCACACAGGGTGGGGCATAGTTTGGCCGTCTTCCTGTCCCTGAATGACACATCAGCGCCAACTTGCTCTCTGACAGTGTACAGCAAAGTCTTTTGGAAAGGATGCCTACCTGGTTCCCAGGGGGCGCTCTGCAAAGTATGTGTGGGGGGCAAGGAGGAGCCTGGGACCAAGCGGTGCACCGACAACCACAACGAACGTTACTATGGCAACATGGGCGCCTTGAGGTACATGGCTGAAAAAAATGTTGTCATCCACATGGATGTATGAATCGCATTTAGGCTCCATGAAGTATCAAATGGGTCTTTATTGTAATACTATCTATAGACAAATACCATCTATTTTACAGTCCACAGCATACACTGGCATATACAGTATATACACATTATATACATAAAGTGCAAAGACTGTAAACAAGACAAGTGCAACACATGAGGGAGAAAGGAAAAGGAGAACAATAGCTAAAAAAATATAGAGAATACACATAGACTGACACACAGGGGAGCTATAGAGAATACACATAGACTGACACACAGGGGAGCTATAGAGAATACACATAGACTGACACACAGGGGAGCTAAGGGTACCCACACAATATAACAGATACGGTGACAATATAACATATATAGTTGAAATCATGATTTAAAAAAAAAGTAAATAAATAAATGAATAAATACAACAGATGTAACAATACAGATGTGACACAAATGTAGGAAAAGGTACAGTGTTGTGTAATGTCCACTGGATGAAGTAGCTAGTGCTGGAGGTAAACCAGGTTCATAATGGGGACGGTAACAAGTTCAGAGTTCTAACAGCTTTGGGGGAGAAGCTGGTGCAGAGCCTGGCAAAGGACTGAATGTAGTATTACATCATCGCAAATTCATCCAGAGCTAATTATTTATGTAGCTGGATACTCACTAAAGCCACTCATGTCAACGATATTCAGATGGTGTTCCTCGCACATGGCTTTGCACCCGTCTGGCCACAATACAGTGCTTGTTTACACCACCGGTCAGCCTAAACTCATGTCCAATCAGATTCCATTCTGTATTGGCCTACAAGTAATCTGAATTCTGTGTAGAAATGAGGGCGCAATATAGGGTTTTAAGGTCCTGGAAGATATACCCGAGGTATTTGGAGAGGGAGAGGCTGATCTGGGTTCTCACACTTAGGTGTTTGGTCGGAGACCCTAGTGGGAAAAGCTATGGTGATGTAGCCTTTCTGGAGCAGCACAACCTGGAGGACAACATTCAAAGTGAGTGTCACCACCCACAAACCCAACCCCACGGTAAATGGCCCATAACACGATACCAGAGTAACACTACCACCCATTGTCCACCTTCTGAGCTGCTCTGTAATAGGCCTACAGCAGACAGACTGTCCAGCAGAGTAGAACAATCCAACGTGCTACACCAACAATCTTCTGGCTGTGTCACTTATTACTAGTGATGACAAAAACAACACTTCATGAACCATTTGTGGTATTTTTTGACCCCACTAGATGGTGCTGTCTGTTTTATAAAGCACGCCGTTTTGGCTCTCACTACTTATTACTCTAACTCTGTCCTGCAGGCCTGAACTCGAGTGGCTGGGCGGAGGGGTGGCAGCCCTCCGACTTTGAGCTGCTGTGCACTGATGGCCGGCGGGCCCCCCTTTCGGAGTGGGAGAGCTGTCACCTGGGGGCCATTCCCCCCAACATCATAATGACTCGCCCTGTGCTTACCAGCCGTGTGTATGACTTCCTCATGAAGTCACAGGTCAGATGTCATGAAGTGGGCCACTCAGATACCAAATAGACATTTAACAGTTAGAAATTGTGATGGAAAAAATTACGTTTCTTGAGCCATTTGCTGTATTTTTTGACCGGACTCTAGCTAAACTTGTCCTGCCTGACTGCCACCAGGAGACGCTGTCAGCCCATCGCGACTTAGAGTTCCAGCTATTCGAATCGCAGTCATACGGCGAGAGTGACCTCCTGTTTAAGGACGCCTCACGCTGCCTGGTCCACAGCACCCACCTGGACTATCGTGCCATTTTGGGGGAGGAGTTCTACCGGGCTGCAGAGGCTGTGTTCAACTGCACGCACTCAGGTGAGTTATTTATAATCCAGCTGTCACACAGTCATGCTTACATCTGTTATCAGTTAAAATATAGCCAAAGGTGGTATTTATCAGTGAAAGAATGAGGGAATGATCTTAAAAAAAGATCCTTGACCATGTTGTGGTTAAGATTAAGTCCTAACATGTAAAATTTTATGAACCAGCTGTTGTTAGGATAATTTAGTGTGTCGGTCCCACAGATCTTTCCTTATTTTTCATTTGTGAAAGATAGATGTGCCTTAATTAGCTAGAGGAGATGAGGCTTCACAGTTAGTGATTGACGAGATTATTGTACACTGTCCCTCATTCCCTCTCACTTCCTCTCCTCTTCTGGTTACGTTTTGGTAAAAACAGGTGCTGATGCATCGCTGACAATGTTTACACATTAAATACGTAGCTGCAGCACCACCCATGCATATTGGTAGAAGGTTATGTGATCTACTGACCATATTTTGTAGTCAAAACACAAAAAATGGGAAGTGTCATGCAAATAAACTAACATGCGAATGCTGTCTGCTTTTGCCTCCTTCAGACATCTTGGATTTCTGTCAGCAGGATGTGTGCAGCATTTTCTGAGGTGCCGCAACCCTTCTTCACGACATCTGCTTCATTAAGGCAGCACCTCAGCGCCCTCCTGCCTCCGTTCTATTATTAACCTTCTCCTCCACTGATTTTCTTAGACATGCTGAAATTCAGAGGACAGGTTCCATTCGCTTGTGCAGTTCAGGGGTGTCTCACGAATTATTCCCGTACTAAAAAGTGCTAAAAACCAATGAAGGTACATGTTGATGACATCAAGATAGTTTTGGCCTTTCAGAAAAGGAAGTGAATAACTTTGCATGCCGTTGGAACCCAACTATGCCTGAAAACGCCAATATTTAAGGAACTTATTCAAAAAGTATACGGTTCCAGTTAAAGTCAAGCTGCATCTTCTTTGAAGTCGTAACACACCCTAAACAGCTGGAATCCTGCAGATGAGTGTGGCACTCACCAGACATGCATTCCTGGGCCATAACCATTCAGCCACAGTGGAAATCTGCCAGGTGGAGATATTTGTCTTAGCAAAGGGTTAGGACATTTTTACTGCTGCTGTACAGGGTCCAAAAACAATCTGTCAAACTTCCCTGCTTAAGAAACCCGCTGTGTTAGCTGGGAATATTCCAGATACCCTCTTTATGAAAGTAGCTTTACTGAGTTTTTAGGATACACTGTTCTAGATGACACAGATACTTGAGGTTTATATAAATTATAAGAATTAAAAAATAAATTCTCATTCCATGGCTCATGAATGTCATATTAATGGACATAAGTTATATATTGTATTAAGAAAAAAAAATCTAATCATGTGTACAACCTACAGTTAATTCTTAACATAACATATTCATATTAACATCAAGTATTTCAGTATTTAAATACTTCAGTAGCATAATTTTGGAATTTAAATAATAAAATATTTTACTGGTGAAAATGTTATGAAATTCCCCAGTTTATGTTTCTATCACATTTTCTATCACCCTTTGAAATGAAGCTCTCACCTAAGTAGTTAAAACCTGGTGGGTTTAGAACCCCAGAGAACTTAATATTTTATCAAATTACATGACACTTTATATGTTTTAAGAAGTACTATTTCATGAAATGTTATATTTTAATAATCGCTGATGAGGCTTACATTGCTACATTTGTTAAAAAAAAATGTGTCCATCGTTATGGCTACTAAACTCTTTATCAGTAATAAAAAGTATCCATTGTAATCATAAATCAAGACAAAAAGATATAAACTATTCATTCAACAAAATATGAATTTGGATTAATAAATTTTATTCTCTACGCCTTTTGAAAGCACATTATAGACGCAAACAGAGTGTTCGAGACAACATACCATAGTCCGTGTTCACACAGAGCAGCACCGTCAGACTAGGAAAGCCGAAACTACACACCCCATAATGCAATGCGATAGTTGCCATGCAGGCACCTTTTCCGTGTTTTTATCGTCCAAACGTGTCGTTTAATTCCTGTGAATGATTGTTCTCGGTGGCAGTTCTTCGATGACGGTTTATCGAGGTTAATTGGTGCGGCAGTAATTAGAGGTCGCGGTAAGTGTTAAGACGTCTGCATGCCATTTGTTCTGAGCTTCTGTTTGAAGTACCCTACTTTATCTGAAACAGCTGCTATACTATAACCTTGAGTTAGGTATCTGTTCGGACTGCTGCCGAAATTCTATGACATGGACGGCATGCCAGTCCATCACGGGGCACAGTCATATACTACTGGCGATAGAAAGACGCCGATTAGCTTAAATGCATGTCTTTGGACTGCGGGAGGAAACCTGACACTGGGAGAACGTACACACTCCACGCACAGAGAGCAGAGGTGGGATTTAAACCTACAGCCGAGCGAGGCTGTCAGGCCACCTTGACATGCTATAATGTTAGCTTTAAAGTATTTCTAACGTTTTATAAGCTACCTTAAATGTGCCTAGCAGAAGTTATAGCTATATAGTTAAGTTATAACTATATAAACTTCAAAGTAATATGACAAACATTTTTAGGAGACAACGTAACCTGTCAGTCTTAATTTGAATTCTGCTTATTAGATTAGTTATTACTTGTTAAAAGATAATTCTTAGCGTTGGAGTATAAAGTGGATGAAACTCAGTTTTTAATCTGGTTTAATAATAAATTGTTATAGCTTCTTTAAATGCCTTTAGCTCAGGTGCTTTAAATTACAGCACACCTGCTGTATTGATCCTGAGTAAGTAGCACGGCAGATTCTTTTGACGTATAAAATATTCATGTTATACCGTTTTCAGTTATTGTTCTGGCTTCATACTGGACTGTGGTGGGTGATACACATCTAAGGACTACTGTGGGTGTGATATTATGGAGTTTGTGCTGTTTGCTGGTTCAGTGGATGGTATTGTCCCCTCACTCCTCCACAACTGGGATGTTGACTCTTGCCTGTGATAGATAGATAGATAGATAGATAGATAGACTTTATTGTCATTGTACCGAAGTCCAACAAAATAATTTCTATGCCAAGCCTGAATTTAAAAGTAATATACACATGTACACACATACATACCTACACATGTAATATACATAAAAACCAACATCAAACAATAATGAGAATAAAAGTGTCTCTTAAATCTTATTGCACAGATTGCATATTTACTGCAGCTGAATGTAACACAGTGGGGAGACAGTGTTTACATTTATTCAGCACAGTTATGGCCCTTGGAAAAAAAACTGTCCTTAAATCTGGAGGTGCGGACTTTGAGAGCTCTGCAGCGCCTCCCAGAAGGTAAGTGAGTAAACAGATGATGACAGGGGTGGCTTGTATCTTTCGCGATGTTAGCAGCTCTACGGATTAATCGGGTTCTGAAAGTGTCCTCTAGAGATGGCACTGTGCTCAGCGTCTGTGGAGTTAGCGTGTTCTTCCCATGTTGTACGAGTTTCCTCCTGCATTCCAAAGGCGTATCCGGGACAGGCTACCCAGGACCCATTTTAATAGGCTTTCTGGATTTTTATGTTTTCTGATTGATGAAAATGTGCAAAAGGAACAAGGCATCAAGATTTGCAAATGGATTTCTGCCATTTACATTTTATTGATTTAGCAGATGTTTTCATCCAAAGCGCCATACACTGTATTTCAGCAGGTCAGCCAGTTGGGGGTTAGGGGTCTTATTCAGGGACCCAACAATGAAATCGCTCTTTAAAACTATGGGATTTGAACCGGCAACCTTCAAGCTCATTCCAGGAAGCGTAGTGGTCGAAGCTTTGCCCGTGCCCCTGGCACACAGCTCTCCCTGCTTGCGGATGACTCTTGCTCTTGCCCTGTGGTTTTCTCTGTGCCCGTCTGCAGATGCGCCAACCATGTAGACTGGCGCTGAGGACCCTGGGCCTCCGAAGAACCCACTCCTGCCCCAACGCCTCCACCCTGGACTTCGTTCCGGCCAGTTCCCCCATCAGCTCGCTGGCCCTGGAGCGAATGCAGGACTTCATTTCCCGGTCGAAGAGGCTGTTCATGATCACGGGTGCAGGGCTTTCCACCGAATCCGGAATCCCCGATTACCGCTCAGAAGGGGTGGGGCTGTACGCCCGCACGGACCGCCGGCCCATTCAGCACGCGGAGTTTGTGCGGAGCGCTAGTGCCCGTAAGCGCTACTGGGCGCGCAACTATGTGGGCTGGCCTCAGTTCTCGTCCCGGCTGCCCAATGTGGCACACCTGACCTTGAGTGGCTGGGAGGCACAGGGGAAACTGCACTGGCTTGTCACACAGAATGTGGACGCACTGCACTCCAAAGCGGGCCAACGGAGGCTCACTGAGCTGCACGGCTGCGCACACAGGTGAGTGTCCCGGGCTTCCTTATTTATGATCAGGTGGTCACTGGGTCGAATCCCGACCGTAGCAGAATAGTCACATCTTCATTGTGCCCTTAGTAAGACCCTTAACCCCACAAAATGGTCCAGGAGTGCCAAATTAATGTTCTGGCTCTGTGTTCAGAACCCAACGTTACTTTCAACTGATTATATGCGTGTTCATGTCTCAAAGGAGAGTAAAATGGGATATGCTGGTGTTTCCCAAACCGGTCCTCGGGGACCCAGAGCCAGTCCAGGTTTCTTCTTCCTCCAAGCTCTCTCTGCCAGATCATGTACCATCTGTGGGTCCCTAAGGAGCAGGTTAGGAAATGCTGGGATATATGTACGAACATTTCAGTAAACTTGTGCTTCTGTAAATGACAAACGGAAGCTTCATTTCACTTTCCATTTAGTGCTACCTGATTAGTTCCAAGAGGGGACCAGATTATGAGAATTATGCCAACTGTGGGGCTTGAAAACATGTTTAAATGGCTTGCATTGGAAATGAAAGAGCAAGAAAGCTTGTAGGAGCGAGGATGTTTTGGCTGATTAGGCCTGTTATTGGCTATTAACACTGACATCCATCCAACCATCTTCTAACTGCTTATTTTTGCCAGATCTAGGTGGGGGAGGGGTAGGAGTCTATCCCAGGTAGCATGGGGCACTAGGCAGGGGTACACTTAATTTCTCACAGCAATTTCACACACAGGTGAACTCTGTGGGCAGGTTAGAGACACCAAGCAGCCTGACTTCGGTTTAGCAGGTGGGGATGTGGCGTGCAGCTTATCTGACTATGACCTCCATTTGCACCTTGCTTTTAACAAGCTGGCCCATTCTTTCTTCATTCAGATATCTTATGCCCGGGGATGGGGGGTGTTGTGCAGCCAGTTGGCCTTGGACCCCCAGAGGTTTTTTTCCTCCCTGCTTTGGAATTTTTGGTTCCTCTCATTTGCTCTCTCTCTCTCGCTATACAAGAATGAATTTGTGTCCTCTTGCCCCCCCCAGGGTGGTGTGTCTGGGCTGTGGCGCACTCTCCCCCCGGCAGGCCCTGCAGACCCGCTTGGGGGCTTTAAACCCCGGATGGGCGGCGGAGGCGGGGGGTGTGGCCCCGGACGGGGACGTCTTCCTGACCGACGAGCAGGTGCAGCACTTCCGTGTGCCGTCGTGCGAGGCCTGCGGCGGCACGCTGAAGCCCGACGTCACCTTCTTCGGGGACACAGTTCACCGAGACACGGTGGGCTTCATCCATGAGAGGCTCGCCGAATCGGACGGGGTGCTGGTGGCCGGATCATCGCTGCAGGTGAACGGTCACCTTCTGACTTGGCAAGCGTGATTTCTCACATGTGACCTTGGTTTTGAGATCTTCTAGGTGTTAGTAGCAACACATGTGCTTCTCATTCATCCTCATTCACCCCGTTTTTGGATAAATCCACATCCTACATAACAAAGCAGGAATCATACACAAAACACATGGGCCTGTTGAACAATAAAACCTTTAAATGTGTTTCCCAGTCCGATCCGCGGGGACCCCCAGACAGTCCACATTTTTGCTCCCTCCCAGCTCCCAACACACCTGTGCCAGGTATTCTGTGTTCCTGATTGGCTGGAACCTGGGAGGGAGCAAAAATGTGGACTATCTGGGGGATCCAGAGGACTGGGTTACGAAATGCTGCCTTAATTGATCCATCAATATTAACCAGGCCCCTGAACTCAGTTCACGCATCTCACAACTCCTTAAAACCGTACACAGGTCTACTCTGGATACCGCTTCCTGCTGGCTGCCAGAGAGAGGGAAATCCCAGTGGCCATCCTGAACATTGGCGCCACCAGGGCGGATCACCTGGCTGCACTGCGCGTGAATGCCCGTTGTGGGGAGGTCCTGCCTGCCATCCTGCCGCTCTGACAGCAGGGGGCAATGTTGCTAACCCTCTAGTGCAGTGTTTCTTAATGTGGTCCCTGTGGACCCACAGGCAGCCCATTGGGAGCTTGGTAGGAGCAAAAATGTGGACTGTCCGGTAGGGAGCTGGGCAGGAGCAAAAATGTGGACTGTCCGGTAGGGAGCTTGGAGAGAACAAAAGCATGGACTGAATGTGGGTCCCCAAGGACCGGATTGGGAAACACTACTCTAGTGGAACTGAGGCCGGTGGAAACAGAAACCACGGTTACGGTTAACTAAATGACACAGTGCCTGGTGCCAATGGGCAAGAGATGGGACAGTCATGCTGAGGTGATGGTTGACTGTTTTCGGAATAAAGACTGACAGGGGAATGAGGGTAACGTACCTCAAGCCAGCAGGCTATCCTGCAGGCTCCCGACTCACCGGCGCCTCACATGTACAGTGTCCCCTGGGGGTCTGTGTTTACTGTAGCTGGTCTGATTATTAGTTATCTAGTAATATTTATGCTAAACACTATTTATTCATGAATGCAAGGCTTAGCAGGCTGCAGTGATCAGAAATACTGTATGGTTAAACACAATCAGATGTACTGTATGAAAATAGGAACTGAGTAGTTAAAATTAGGGCTGTATATCATCAAATGACGATTATTTGACGCATGCACAATAATCACCAGGGCTTTAGATGATAGGCGTAAATATTTGTCCAGACGCCAGCCGTTCAGTACTATACGGACGTTTACTTACGCCCACAACTTGGTAAGCAGATTAGTAGTATGCCTAAAATACTAATGTGATGCCCAAAAGTTTGTAATGTGAGCCGTCCCGTTCTCTACTGACCCTTCAGTGCTTATTGCTTCCATGATATACCAAACGATAGCATGGGGGATGCTTCACTAACCGAATGTAATAAACATAAGAATTCACCACATTTATAGATTACCAACTTCTGGACATTACAATATGCATATCATTTATTTAGACATACTACTAATCTGTTTACCAAATTGTGGGCTTAAGTAAACGTCTGAACAGTAGTGAAAAGCCAGCATACATGTTTATACCTGTCATTTATAACCCTGGTGATTGCAGAGGCACAATTACATTTCCATGTGGTTTTGTGCAAGCCCTAAATAGAATGAGGTGCAAAATATGGTCTCCATATCTTTGTATAGTTTCTTCAGGTGGCTTTTTAAGTAGTAGTTTTTTTTTCCATTAATAAAGTCTGTACCTGAAGGTTTGGAAATTTCCAGAAAGAAATCCCTGAGAACTTGTTGGATCAGTTTATTTTGTCATTAACCACATGACTGAACTGCACAGAACTGAAGTTAGTACAAAAGCAGATTAGAGTATTTAGCCAATAAGAATATTTTTAGAAAGTTATAAGCGTTTATGGATTTATAATGCTTATGATATGTGTAGTGCATTTAGAAAGTAATCAGACCCCTTCACCTAAAATGGAATGCAAGATCAAAACATTGTAATTCACTTTTTCCCTCAGTCTACACTCAATACCCCATGTTAACAAAATGAAAGCAGGACTTTAGAGAACCCAAGATTTCTGGAGAACAACTAAACACGTGGTCTTTATCTCATGTGGGAATTTCATCCAATGAGGAGCTGCTCTTGGTCTATCCCATATTAACATGATTTTGAGTCTGGGGGTCCCTGAAGACTGGGTTGAGAAACATTGATCTAGTGTCTTTTGTGTTGCACATTCCCTGAGATGAGCTTTTGGTTGGTCCCAGAGCAGCTGGAATTGCAGCCCGCAGAAAACACCAATAGAGACACATTTACCCTTCTTACCTAAAAGCAGCTGCTGCACCAGCTGAACACAACAGTCAAGGTATAAATCCACAAAAGCAACTATTTCAATGACTCAGCAGTAAGGTAAGATCTCTGCTTCTCTGTCCAGTATCTCAGAAATATATTGAGCAAGTACACAATTTTTTGGCATGATTTCCTTTCTGGGAAAGAAAAAAAAAAAACAATGCTGCTGATTACAAGAGAGGCGTAGACCTACGCTTCTGAAAGGACAGAAAAGATTTAGGAGCAGTGTGCTGGGGCTGACACGGAATATTTATACATTTGTATTATTTGATCATTCAGGGAAGGGATGCATTGGTTCACAGTAAGCGTAGATCCTGACTGAAAGCTCTTTGACAGCATTGGAACAGGTGAAGAGTGAAGCCTCAGGGTGAGTCGGGGGGTGTGACAAAGCCGTCCCCCTCACTGTCAGAGCTGGGCTGAGCTTCTGGGACTGAGACATCCTGGGGGGGACTCTGTGCATTCTGGAATTTGGAGAGCAATTCCGTGTTGAAGGCGGAGATGGGAGATCTCCTCTGGTCCCTGATTGGTGCTCGCAATGTGGGCGTGCCTCCAGGAGACCTGACCAAAATAAAAAAACAATGGCCTCCTGTTTTAAAGAGGTTTTACTCTGGTGAATTTCACAAGTTTGTTTAATTATGGAGGTACTTACCAATACCAAAAAAAGGCAAAGGAATAAAAAATGTTGCAACAGACAGCTTGTGACCTGAGCCTAGAATATATCTTCTGCGGTGAAAAATGACAGCCAATTAGCGGATGATGTTAACTAAGGACATACTAACACTTGGCCCGGTTACCTGGTACCATGCCTGAGCATGACTGTCTCCCCTCACCCATCCCCCGCTGGTCTACGCTCACATTGTGCTGAACGTTTCGGGCCTGAGCACATGTTCCTCATCACCATGCGACTTTTTGTATTGAAGAAAACATAGGAAGGAAAGCACTAACACAGCACAATGTAGCCCATGATTAATGTTCTTATTGTGCTGCTTATTTTGAGTTGTTTTGGGCGCAAAGACACACAGCCCTCTTACAGATTTACCAAGCATGCAACGTAGCAATTTTTACTTATATGTGCTGCATGTATAAGAAGACAGTCCCATATTTTACCAGATATCTGAGTTTTTGTGTGTTGCATCCAGTTCTTCCTGGATACATCAGCCCAAATTTCCAGCAAACACTGCACCTCCACTGTAAAGTGATTCCTTTCTTGCAGTGTTTGTTAAATATTTGTCACTGCCCAACCTGTACAGCTTAGCCGATCCGTTCCTTCCAGGTCCAGTTCACGTATAGTGTATGTGTGGACATTTGTGTGCCAGTCGCATTACTGACCTTCTGCGACTGTTCCATGCTCATGTTCCATGCTCAGGCACGGTTAGTGATTACAGTCAGGTCAAACTGAACCGTGTCCCAGCCCATCTCTTCAAGTAGGCCCAGGGACAACATGGAGTAAGCACACTAGTCAAATAGGACTGCGGGCGTCAAACATGCTCAACCACAGTACAGGTCATTTAGTGTGAGTACACTCTAAGAGAATAGCAGAGAATCCCCTTGGCGTTTAACATCTGCAGGAGACTGTCTGACGTAGAACCGGAATCTACCAGGTCAGGAAAGGAGAACGGAAACGGAAGGAACACGAGGAGAAAGGCGTCCAGCCTGGAGCGCAGGTCCACACTGCTGCCACAGCACAGAGATCTCCCTCACCTTGCGATACCTGTTGCCTTCAGTCTCTGGGCCGGGTTATACGCAAGCAGCTCTGTCTGGATGTCCAGGCGCGGGTTCGAGTGCTTCGAGTCGCCAGGCAAGGGACTGCAGAGCTCCACAGTGCTGGCGGGACATCAGGGACACAACAGAAATGGTAAAAGTTTAACTTAAAGCTAAATGCTATGGACAAATAATCATGCTAGGTGATGCCATGTAGTAAAAAAAAATAAATCACACACCTAATGGGTCGGTTCAGACGGGAGAGGCCGTAGCTGGTGAGTAGATCTGGCGTGGCTGCAACCTGAAAATGGACAACAGGAGGCGATAGAGTTGCATGTACAATACCAGTCAAGTCTGGATCCACCTACTGAAAACCATTTGTTCTTCAAAAATACAATGAGCCTAAGCACTCCTTCAGGTTATGGAGTATCTTGTGAACAAGGAAAGAGATGAAGTTCTGAGGCAGACGACCTGGCGTCCACAATCTCCTGACCTAAATCCTACAGAGCTGGTTTTAGGATGAGTTGGATTGAAGAGTAAAAGCAAGGTAGTCAACTTGTGCCCAGAAACACTTTCGGGACGGCCGGAGAAGAAGCTACACCTGGAAGCTGCTTTTCGAAAGAATGCCAAGAGTCTGCAATGCTGTCATCAAAGCAGGAAGGGGCTGTTCTGAGAGCATTTCAGAGGTTGAACATTTCACTCTGAAATATTTGAAATGTACCAGATGTGCCCAGACTTGTGACTGGCACCATATCAACAACGGGAAATGGTCGCTCCGTATTCTGATGCTGGTGTGTACGAGGTGCTTCTTATCTGATCTATGCATGCAGCATTAATCAGGAAGCAGGAATAGGCAGGAGAAACAGGTACAAGTTTTCAGGAGGCTGCTGAGGATTTTCTTGTGGGAAGATTGTTACAGCGCCCAGGGAGAGGGTAAGTCCGAGATCAAGTGACAAGAGAAACTGCAGATGGTGGTGGGACAAGCGCAAATCAAGATCTGCCAAATGATCAGGTCGCCACTGGTAACCCAATCAAGAGTAGTAGGTTCTCACCGGCTGAATTTTGGCGTTTTCTCGAAGGGGCGTGGCTGGAGGAGGGGGAGGAGGCGGGGGGGGAGGAACAGGTGGAACTCCAGGACACAGGGAAGGGGTGGGTGTTCCTTGTCCTGCTGCTCTGTCCAACAGCGGTCGCCTTTTGTCAGCCAAACGCTGTGAGGATCGCTTTGTTGCACATTTAGCCTCTGCAGACAGACATTATTGTGTGCTTATAAGAAGGCCAATGCTGGATCGCTCTGTGTGAATATTAATGTCATGAACCTCGGGGTGCTCACCCTGCGCATACGCCTGCACCCTCTCCATCTCTGCACGCAGCTGGCCCACCCTGTCCTGCAGCTCTTCCGCACCCACCGTGTTGCACCGGTTCATCTGACCCTCCACTGCGCAGAAGAACTTGGCCTGAGGAGCCAGCCAGGGCCAATGAGTATAAAGGTAGGACACAACAGAAGGGCTTTGGGAAGAGGTACATTGCAGAAGGACAGAACAACACGCAGCCCTGCCAAAAATACTGGGCCTCTTTAAAGCAGTGTTTTCCAATCAGGTCCTTGGGGACCCCCAGCGGTCCAAATTTTTGCTTCCTCTCATCTCCCTGTCGGACAGTCCACATTTTTGCTACTGGAAGCTGGGAGGGAGCAAAAACCTGGACTGTCTGGAGGTCCCCAAAGACCAGGTTATAAACACTGCTATAAAGCACCTGATGAAAATGCCCCATGACCTGGATCCCAATTCATCAGCTCCCTAAGTATCATGTGACCCACAGACCTCCTGTCTCCGCCTTGGAGGGGTGAGGGGAGGGGGGGCTCACCTTCATGCTGGTGCCCACAGCCCCGCGTTCCAGCTCCATCTGCTTTCTCCGGCGGACCACCCGCTCACACAGCTCGGGTCGCTGTTCCATGGCAGCGAACAGGTCCTGCAGTGCCTGCTGGGTGTACGTCAGGCCCTCCCGCTCAAAATCGTCCTCTGACATCTGCTGGCAGAAGCGTTTCACCATGGGGCACTCGGAGTCAAATTCTCCCATGGACTCCATCCGCTGGCTTCAGGGGCTGAGATGAGCCATTTAAAAACCCGTCAGAATGACTAGCAGTCTAACACCCAAACTCTCAGTATAAATAAGGTTATAAAATCAGCCAGACCGATTTTTCTGTCAAACTATGAAATTAACGGCAATTGAATTGTCTATATAAATATGCAGCCAAAGATTAACACTGAACTTAGAAAGTAAAACTATATCTAACATCCTTACACCTAGGATAATATCCAGTATAATACATATTAATAATAAGAACAATAGTAACCAGTATAACAATAATAAAAGTCTGACACCTTCGCTTATGCTTTTGCTCTGGTGCCACAATATCGAGTTTGAAGGTTATTAGATATTATTTTTGGAATCGGCATTCAATAAATTTGGAGATACTTACTCTTCAGATTAAACCTTAATCAACAATTAGAGTCTTAAATAAGTGATAAATGATAACACCTGAGCCGACGTGCGAGCTTTTCTCCACAGACAGGAAAACCTGCTGATTCAAAACAAAACCCCGGACGATTTGATTTTAGCGGAAACGCCGAGCGGCCAATCGCTCGCCAAGCGGATCCGTGACGCTACCTTTCACCCTTTGTTTCTCTTTTTTGTACGCTGCCTTTATGGCATAACAATGTTTTATATCTCCACACAATTAAAATACTTATTGTAAACCAACACAGCGTGTCAGAGTGCCCCGTCGGCGTGTGAAAGAGGTAGCAAAATTCTGTTTTAAAAGTGCCATATTTGAACGCCAAGGTCACGTGTTGAGCGCGGACCGCGCAGGGTATGTCGGGACACGTAGTGCTTCTCATCCAGAACAACTTCTTTGGGCTGATCGCCCCCCACATGCACACACACATACGCGCCCCCTAAACACATGGCTGACCTGCACCATTTAAAAAACCGACGAGGACCAGAGGAATCGCGTAAGTCCAGCCAGTCCCGGGTTGCCGTGCTTGGAAGTTGAGACTATCTCCAACCGATAAGTTGTGCAGAGTTTCGCCGCGAAAGCGAAGCCTGACACGGGGACGTGACTTTAGCTAGCCACCTCGTTTGCGATTATTTTGTAATTCCCTGCGGCCAGGAAACGATCGGGATCTTTTGGGGGGCTTTAAGTGCGCACGCTGGCCCTACGGATAGGCTGACCAGTGTGGTCATAGCAGATGGGTGCTGTGCACGCAGTCACGCACCATAACACAGTGCCCATGTGCTTTCGAAAGTAGGAAGCGGCTGGACGGAAACGAAATAAGCTTCCAGATCGGCTTCTTTCAGGGCGAGCGTTTATTTGCCCCGCCACCCTCGAATAGATGAACGGAAGACCCCGCCTGATCCGGGGACCGGTGTGAATTGCGGTACGTGCGTGATTTCACATCTGCGGTAACCCGAAGAAGCTGCTGAAATTCACGAGGCAGCCGGAGGCGCTCTTCATTTGACAAGTTTTATATCTGTTGTATTCTAACACTAATACCTTCTCCTTCATTCAGCATGGCTATATATCAAATATATACAGTTGTTGGATTTTTTAATTCATTTATTTTAACAGCGTTATTATAAACTGTGTATTACTTCTGACCTTAACATTAGGGATTAGAAAATGGATGCAGTCCGCTGCCGAATGAGCGCTCCGGATTCCATCGTGGACGCCAGGCAGAGGTCAGAGTGCCCCCTACTGGCCAGGGTGAGCATACATGGAGTACAGCAAGAAGACGAATCGAGCCGTAAGCCACTACGAGCTGGCAGTGTGATCAGATGTGAGGACTGTGGACAGGGCTTTTCTAACATTCCTGGGCTGCTGCGGCACCAGCAGAGAGAGCACGCCGTACACAAACCGTACTGTTGCCCCACCTGTGGTCAGGCGTTCGCCTTGCTGTCCAGCCTGCGCCTGCACTGCCGTACCCATACTGCTTCGACCTATCAGACTGGTGTTTCCTGCTCTACCAGCCCACCCACAGCAGGGTTGCAGCAGCACGGGGCTCTCCCTCTGTCAGGACACCAACGCCATCTGCCGGACAGAGAGCCTTACGCGTGCGCACCATGTGGGAAGGCCTTCAGTCACAAGCCAGCTTTGTTGCAGCACCAGCAGGCTGGCTGCCACGTCCCAGGTAACGTGTCCTGCCCCCCAGTGCCCAGCCTCTCGACCCTGCCCACCACCCCGCAGGCCCCCCTGGTCACACCAGCGGCATTACCTGATGTCAGTCATGCCCCACTTGCCACACAAAGCTCCATGCTCAGCAGCTCATGTGCTCCGCCCCTCGTGATACCTGTTACATCACAAGCCCCACCCATAAGTCCACAGGCACCTGAGCATTCCACCCGGTCACCCCCCATCGCATCAACTCCACCTACCCCTGCCAGGCTGTACTTCTGTTCCCTGTGTTGCCGTGAGTTCAGATCACAGGTGGGCTTAGCAAGCCATCAGCGACTCAGCCACCCGGCGGAATGGAAGCAGGCCCTGACCACGTACTGGGGGCAGGGGGGTAAGAAGTTCCCCTGCCCCTCATGTGACAAGGTCTTCTGCCATTCCCCGTCGCTGTCCCAGCACAAGCTCCGGTGTCATGGGCAGAGGGCAAGACAGATGACGAGGATAAAGGGGAAGGAGGAAACGGTGGGGGCCAGTCCACACCCCAAGGGCCGGGTGTTCCCCTGCCGCTCCTGCGACATGGTCTTCTCCCAGACCTCCAGCCTTCAGCTGCACAGGAAGGAACAGCACCGCAGGCCGGTTCGGACCCGTGACCGAGGCAGGGCCTCCACAAGCCATCCAAAACGCAGAAGGAGGAAGGGCGGCGTCTATCCGTGCCTCTACTGCAGCAAGGTGTTCGGGCACCACCTGACACGTCGGGCTCATGTGAGGGCCCTCCACCCCCAGCCTCACTTTCACCTAGAGAGGCGGAGCCATAAGCCTCAGAAGAGCCAAGAGGCGGCTGGGCAGGAGGTCCAGGGAAGGATGTACCGCTGCCCACGGTGTGGCCAGGCTTACCACAACCATAGCAACCTCATTAGGCACCGCTGCGAGTATGTCAAAGTCCTTCAGAGGGCTGCAAGGAGGCAAGAGGCTGGCTGTAGGAAAGGCGAGCATAGCAAAAGGCCAGAGGGCAACGTGGAGGGCAGCGGGCCAGACAAGGAGGACAACAAGGTATTCCCCTGTCCTTCTTGCGAGGAGGTCTTCAGCCAGTTGTCCTTCCTGAGAGAGCACGAATTGATGCACCAACCTGTGGAGGAGACCAAAGCCTGCAGCGTGTGTCGGTGTGACGTGGGCGCCCCCTGGAGTGGGAAGTCGCATGGTGCGGGGGCAAGGGTGTACCACTGCGAGCCATGCCAGCGAACGTTCAGGACGCTGCAAGTATTCCTGGAGCACTGCCAGATTCACCTAGGCCCGCAGAATGGGGTCAATGGTGTGGAATGATGAGGGCGTCATCTAGCAAAGTGTCCCAAAAGGCTCCAAAATGGAGATTGTATGGCCTGAGACAGAGGACACTCCTCTGCTTGGTTAAGTTTCATGCCTTTTTTTTCCCCCTAGTCATGTCAGGTAATGGGCAAAGATATTTCTCAAGGCTGCTAGCGAGTAAGGCTTGCGTTGTGAACATACAGCACTGGCAGTTGCTATAATTGCACTGTAAAATCCTCAGTGGACTTGTTGCTCTCTGGAACTCCAATACTGTGAATTTGCTCCAAAATCTGTGAATGTGTATTGAGATAAACAGCTTTGTCCTGGAAACCTTAGCTTCTTGTCCTTGTGATTTAAAGAAGCATGTTAATTTTTAATTAAAAGGATTTTCAGCTCTGAGACACTGGTGAGTCTGTGTGGCCTTGAAGAGAATATTAAGAGATTTATATTTTTGGTAGCCTTTTCTAACGATTTCTTGTAAGCAATCTGAGATTTCTGTGTATTCTTGCAATAAAGCTTTAGACTCTTTTCTGCGTTCTTGAATGTGTTTGTGGATTAACATTGGATTGATGGTTGTATATATAATAGATACGTTATTGATCACTGTGGGGAAATTCTCTTTACACCTGCTCAGTTTGCTCTAAGTATGGGAAGACCAAGCTTGCTGCAAAGAAGACCTGTTCCAACACCCAGGGATCGAGGGCCTTGTTAGCCTCTCATTAAGTCATCATGGATGGATAACTGTCATTCTGAGTGACAGTACCCATTGAAAACATGCATCAGAAACAGTTCTGAAATGTCAAGACACCTCAGCTGTAGGTGACTTTATTTCATGCTACGACTGTACAATCTGAATTTTAAAGTGAAACCCAGTCAAGTGAAAAATTGTCATTATCGACACACAACAAAATGTGTCCTCTGCCTCTGAACCCATATGCGTTAACCCATAGTAGTGAGCAGCTAATTCAGCATCTGGGGAGCACAGCATGGGTACAGTACCTTGTTGGTCAGGGATTCAAACCAGTAACCTTTCACTCACGTGCACTTCCCTAACCATTATGCCACACTGCACTGAATTCTCAGTATGGATTTGGAAACCTACTATATCTCTGCGAACGGGTGTAGGACATTAACATACAAGGACTACAGGAATCCAGTATGTAACCTTTTTTAAAACGGAGAAGAACATTATATGAACCTATTTGAATAAGTAGGCTGACCATGTATACTTTGTATAAGCATAAGCCCAAGATCATTGCACCTGGGCAAAGATCTATTCAGATGTGTGGCTTTTCTTCCCTAACTGTAATTAATGCGTTTCCTGAAACTGTGGCTTATTTTGATTATACTCTTCCTGCCACTGCAGTGAAAACAATTTAAAAATGAACTAAATTACTTTCAGATATCAAAACAAGCCTGAAAAATTGATTCTGACATCCTTTTTCCATAGCTGTGCATACCTCTGGTGTTTTATTTCGGTTGTGGTTAAATTAGACAGATCTTTTGTGTCGTTTTCTATTTGGGGCAAATTGGAACATGTTATCCAACAAGGTCCTTGGCTTTGCCTGATCTCCACTGAGACACCTCTCACCACTAGAGTAAGAAAACAAAGTTGGAAAGTTTAACTTTAGTTAAAACTTAATTTCATTTAGACAACTAATTTGCAATAGGTAAGAGTCGTATTGAGTCCTTCTGGCCTTTTTTAGTAATAATTAGTTTTGCATGAATGGAATAGTTGCTGATGGCGACCCTGTTGTAAATCAGCAGAATGATCTGGCAACCCTAGTGGAAGCAGTAGACGTCACTGCAAACCCGGAACCGGAGACTGAAATGGGCTTCGTATCTAGGTCTAGATAGAATACTGCTGCTTGTGTGCGTATTTATCCATTACCACTGGAACCCTCCTGCCAGTAGTGTAAGTCGCCGAAATATTGCTGTTTCCACTGATTCTTTGGACTCACGGTAGCATGCAAGCTAATGGTATCTTAGGCTAATGCTGGCTGCATTTCCACGACAATCGCAAACTTGCAAAAAAATGTAGTTTGTATATGCAATTAAGTCTTTATTTTGGCAACAGTACTTAGTCATTAATAGTATTTCTCCCCATCCAAGTTCCCTTACGTGCAGTTAACGCTGTAACGCTGCATCGCCAGTTGCTGCTGCAGTTGGATCGATGCGTATGGCAGCTGCCCTTGGGGCGGGTCGCGTTTCTCATGCGGGGTTTCGCAAAGTGACGGAAAGTCCAGTTTCAGTTCTCAAACCTGTGTCCTGACCCTAGACATCGCTCTTCACCTTTTAGGTACAATAAAAAAAAATCACAAGAGTTATATTCGTCTGCTATATGAAATGCAAAAAAAAAAAAAAATCAAAAGCTAAAATCCCCATTTAACTTCCAAAACATTAGTTTTTTTGCTGAGCTGTTTATCACATATCAGACATATGCACTTTATTCTTTGAAATCGTCATGTTCTCACCCAGTGAAATAGTTAAATTTTTATAAATAGTAAATTAGAAAGTCAAAGAGTTCGTATAGCATTTTGCTTTACCAGGAGAGTTACAGCTGCAGGTCGGGGTAAATGCTATTTGTCCTTTGACATACCCCATATATGTATGTATATATGTGCGCGCGTGTGTGTGTGTACACACACACACACACTCACGCACGCACATGTAAGACATAGTATCCAACTGTACTGAGCATTGCTTTTTTCATGATTTTTTTTAAAACTGTGATAATTTATTATTCCCCAGATGAGAATTTCTTCTTTTTGTTTAAGGAGCCGGAGATCTAACCAGCGGCGGCAGGGTGACGCCTGGATGTAGGCTTGCTCCAGCCCTCCATCCGGGAGGCACAAAGTGTGCCGATGGACCTGGAGGAGGAGGTGGCGAAGGCCCAGGCTCTGCTGCAGACCCACAGCCCCTCCTCTGTGGTGGCCAGCCTTGGCCTTGCTGTCTTCTGCGTCTGTGTAGACCATCTCCTGCTGCTCTCACTTGTCCAGCAGCACGCGTGGCTGCGCGCCGCAGTGGATAATGGCGCCCACGGTGCCATCGGCTTGTGGTCGTGGGCCATCGTCGTCGGCCTGAGGACGTGGAGTGGTGTTTGGGAATCTGTCCTTGCGGGCTGCCTGGCCTCGGCAGTGGACCTGGACCATTTCTACTTAGCTGGATCTTTCTCGCTCGAAGTGAGTCGCTCTCTTTTTGGTACTCCATATTAATAATAACCTGCCTTCTGAGGTGCCAACTAGTATTAGTTAACAATACTAACTTTTCATATTCACAGTAAACTGCCTGTGTATGAACCAAACTTCTGATTTGTTGCATTGCGCCACCTGCAGGCAGCTCTGAACCTCCCGCGACGGCCACCCTTACACTGCTCCTCTCTGATTCTTCTCCTCTGTGGCTCCCTGCACCTGCTCATCAGGGCCTGTCGACCAGGGGCCCCTTGGCGTCCCCTGCCTTGGCTGCTGTTCATCTCCCTGGCATCTCACCACATTAGGGACGGCACGCGGCGGGGGCTCTGGGTGTGGCCCTTTGGGAACACGCCACCCCTCCCGTACTGGCTGTACGTGGCCCTCACAGTAACGCTACCCCAACTCTGCTCAGTCCTTATGGGCGTCCTGGGGACCAGAGAAGCCGATTCCAGGAGACACAAGGCAGCCTTAGATGTGTGAATTTAACATGCAGCCTCCTACATTGATCAACCACGATTAAATTAACCTTCATTAGCAGATTTCTTTCTCAGTATAACCTTACAGCTAATTTGTAGCCCAGTTCCTCACCCACTACCACTCCTCATTTGGAATCCGTACTCCTGAGGTGCCAGGAGTCACCATAATTGAGCAAATACACAACTTCTTATAGCAGTGACCAACAAATTTTGGGGGGAAAAAATCAGCTAAACCACAAGTGTCTTACATCACATAGTGGTTCATTGAGAACCAGTATGGACATTTAAACTGCACATTTGTTAGGAATTCTTATGTAAAATATAAAACCAGAGGTTATTCCACAACCAGAAAATGTTCCTTCTAGTGTAAACAACTGTTCAGTGGTGTAGTTCAGAAGAGAATACATCTGTACAGTAAAACTCAATGCAAAGATGATCTGTTGACAGATCTGTTCATATTATCAGGTTGTGTGACACTGGTGATTTATTAAAATAAAAAAACCATGTAGCACCCCCCAATAATAGATCTGTAATCCACTCAGCCAGGTGTGTGTGAAATGTCATCTCATACAGACAAAGGCACGGTTGATGAGAATAAAAACCTTTATTAGTGTGTTTATGAAGAGTGCATATGCAACATGGCTGAAGAGCTTAGTCTTAAATTCAACCGATAATTCGCCATCATCCCTTTACTGGTTCAACAAGCACACTAAAATGCTTTGCCAGAATTTAAAATATTTACTATATACACACACATTTCTGTATATATGTCCAAAACCCATTCTGTCTTTCCTAATGGTCCTCAAAGGCCAACAGAACGGCTCCAAGCTTTGAGGGGAGAGGGCTTCCAAGGATTACAGAGAGGTCACTACATTATCATCTCTAAATCTAAGCTGATCAGTTGCACTTATAAAAAAACAAAAATTGCCAGTGCAACATGAATCAATAAATCAATGAAAAGGAAGGACGGTCACATGTCCATTAACACAAAATGTTTCCATGGTAGCAATGGTGTTTCAAAGACCACCTCACTTCCTCTTCCTGCCCAATGCATGCTGGGGGAACACTGTCGAGACTGTGACTTCTGACGTGTCACTTTTTTCCAGCTCTGAGGGGCAACAAAATGCTTCCAAAAAATAATAAATTCTGAAGCAAAATACTTCATGGGTCCCGTGAACCAATGATGCACTAGGGGGAAAATCTCAAACAAGACAAGCTCAGGCCAAAAGCATTGAAGGTCTAGTTGCAAAACTTTATTGCACCATTTTTAAAATTATTTAAAAATAAAGCAGACTTTTTTTTTTTAAATATTGGTTTCAAGGGCAGGGGATCACTAAGGCAAAGCTTCTAATAGAACAGACTCAAACTGGACCTAGGAATGCTTGTTATCAGTTTAATACTTCAAGAAGCTCTGTTCCTTTAAAAATTGGTCATAGTTTAAAAAATACTACATTTGAATAAAAAGTGAGCTACAGAGATTTTAAATATTCATATATATATAAAAATACATGAGAATAAAAAAGTAGGTAAAAGAAAAAAAAAAAAACTGAAATGTTGTCAGTGGTAGATTTCCTTCATACTTTAGTGTGGAGAGGCTTGGGCACCGTATGTTGGTACAACCACAGTATGAGAATCATCCTGATAGGCTGGTCCTGGCCCAGAAAAGTCAGTCTCTGACCGAAGCAGGGATGAGACTGGATCGAGCCCAGTACATGGGCTTGTCGTTTACAGAACACGCCAGATAAGTGCCAAGCTGCAGGGGAAAAGCAGCAGGCTAGGATGGACTGGGCCCAACCCAAGCTGCAGCTTCCCACCTGCTCGAAGGAACACAGGGGTCAACACGCCTCTGAAACAAACCGTTACGTTCTACTACAGGAACGGAGCTAAACATTGATGCCTGTCACACTGCATTTCACTCACAAGATTACAGAAAACTGATCGTTCATTCCATGTCCACTTCAGCCTGAATTCCTGAATAACCGCAAGCTTTTTGTCAGATAAAAGTTAATGTTTGGTCTTGCCGACAAAAAACTGAAAATAAGTTACAGAAAGCCAATTTTCTCCGCAGACAAATGTCCTGTAATACTGCAAGGAAGATCCTGGCTTTAGGCCACATCTAACGAACTTTTACACCAGCACACATTTAATTTGGACTATTAACAGGTCTAACATCTATGGTTTTGGGCGAACATAATTAAAACAAGGTGCATGTAGCTGATTGGTCAGTAAGTGCCATGATGTAGTCAGAACAGTGAAGGCAAGGTGGGGGTTGGGGGAAGGTCTTCTGGGACTGGTGCAGGTAGTATCCTGGGCAAGGGTGTGGGGGGGCATTATGACATACTAGAGCAGCGTGCGGAAGGTGAGCCCATCTGGGTCAGAACTTTGTCCAGCCACTGTAGTGGTCCATTAAGGTGCAGTTCAATCCAGCAGGGGGTGCTAGTCACCGTCTGTCGTCTTGGATAGAAAAAAAAAAAAAAAGAGAACCAAATATTAGACCACTGTAATACAGAAGGAAAACAGCCTCATACAGTGCATAAAACAGCACTGCAGTCCTTACCACCCACATAGTGACAGATTAACCTGGGGAATGAGTGACTCTGCAAATGATGACTTACCATCAGGTGTCGGCTGACTGGATAAACCTGCACCTTAAGACCTTTGACTTTATAGAACAAGCAGGCCAGAAAACAGCACTGTGGCACTCATGTTACCTGTTCTCGGTTTCGGGGAATTTCTGGACTTCATTCAAGTGATACACTAGAGCAAAACAGCCATTGGGCCTCAAGACTGAAAGGCACAGCATCTCCAGAAGGTCGTCTGTGGATCGGAGCCTGGACCTTCCCAGCCTGAGGCCTACCTGTACTCGGCGCCCCAGCCTTTGACGAAACTCATGCGGATGGTGCACATCCTGGTGAGCTGGTACACCGCCTCGAACCCCTGGTTGACCGACTGGGCCAGTAGGGCGGCGAACTCCTGATTGTTGAAGATTTTCAGGTTACAGCCTGATGCAGGGAAAGTCAGCAAGAAAACAGTGGTTTAAAAGATGTGTTCAAGTCCGGCAGGTTTATTGCAGTTTCTGCCATATACACAGAACACAGAGAAATGAAACAGATGTTCCTTGAGGACCATGGTGCAACACAGAGGAGAGAAACAGAACAATTCAAGACTACACAAGTGAGGGCAGGACAGAACAATACAGGGTGCAAGGAGAGCAGAGAGAGAGGGTTTGGAACTGCAGAGGCTGCCACAACTGCAGACGATACTTTAAAATACTTAGTGATCAGTCAGATTTACAAAGCATACAATTCTATAAAAAAAAAAAAAAACTAGTGCTGTCCCAAACAATTATTCTTTAAACGATTAATCTAGCAATTATTGTTTCAATTATTCGACTAATCTAACAACTAATTTTTCGATTGATCTTATGCTAAATTTATTGATAAGCAATTATTTTCAAGTTAGTCATTTAATACAATTCATACATAATACAAATACTAGGAGAGGTAAGCTTATAGTTAAGCTTACTTCAGTGAGCAAGGAAGGATTTAGGCTACAGTGTGTAAGAGTCGTAAACGATAATTTGTCTCACTTTTACATGACAGAAAATATAAAACGGCTGAAACAGCGCCATTAACGTCAGCTACAGTAGAGGTGCAGAAAAGGTCATGACTGAAGTATTCCCAAAGTATCCCCATGACTGAAGTATTCCCAAAGTATCCCCATTACTGAAGTATTCCCAAACTTTGGAATACCGCATGCAAGCCTTTGTTGCAGCGTGTTTCTCCAGAGACTCCGGAGCTCTGCTGGTAGATGCAGCCATGTTGGCTCGTGCGCGGGGGGGCAGGGTGGGAAGCAAATTTCCTTTTTGCTGGGTGGCAGGAGATGTCTCATTAATATTCATGAGAGAAGTGCTACATGATTGGCCAGTGCATGCCTTAGAAAATAGTGCGGCACTGGCAATATTACACAAAACTATATCGGAATTCAGTCTATATTTGATATAGTTTTAACGGTGCCCGCAGTAAAACAACTAGCCCGCTTATTAGCGGAATAACTTTGCATTGTAAATAAAACCATGCCGGAGGTCCAATAAATAAAATATTGTAGCTCTCGAGTGGCAAAAAGACTCAGGTGGACAGTAAAGTTCAGTTATTAGCAGACTGTTTTATTACGCAATTCTTAAAAGGACATCGTTAACGTGCTTCCGAGGGGATAAAGTACTTTTCTTTGCAATTGGTTTAGCTTATCACTTAGTGCATTGCAGTTACAAAACGTTTACGTAGTTTTACACAACGCGTCGATTCCACGCATAATAATAATAATAGTCGTAATAATCATCGTCTCAGCCCTAAAAAAACATAGGTGTGCATCTTTGGCGTTCAAAATACTTTTTTGTCCTAGTTTAGTCCAATTTACCCACTGGACACAAAAGTCACATCCACTCCTGAGTAGACAAGGGGCCATTGTTTACCCGAAAGCCAGCAGTAGGCACAGGAACAGCACCATACAAAGACATTTCATTTTTTTTCAAAAACGCAGGAGGAAAATCGATTTAAATCTGAGTCATCTCACTGGTGAGAGTCACAGGTACAATAATGTTGGCAAGTGTGGGAAGAACTTAGTTTAACACCAAAGATCAGCAATGCAACTCGGCTGGATTAATCAGCTTAGTTACATAAATAAAATATGACAATGTTCACAAACCAATTTCATGATACCACCCACAAGCTATCCACTGAAATACGAGAGACTGGGTGAGCAGTCACAGTTTTAGATGCACAACTGGCTTACAAGCAGCCAAACTCACTCCAGCCAGATGTGATTAGTGATCCAGTTAAACTCACAGGGTCTTTAATTTAATCTAATTTTAGGACCAGGAAACCTACCCTCAGTGCACAATTATCTTATTACCAGAATTTGTTTTACGCATGGACAAGCAATAAATCATACAGCCTGGTCTTCACCAGGTCTATCAAACTATGGAGAGCAAGATGGGACAAGCGAACAGAAGAATTGCAAAGTAGCTGTAGTCATGTTTATGGAAATGGTTAAGAAATGATTTATCATTTATTACCATCGTCATTTAACTAACCCCCCCCACCCCCCCCCAAGCCCCAATGCTGCTCACCTGGGGGGATTTTGCAGACGGTTGCCGGGTGCCAGCCATACCGCTGGTTACAGTTGGGACTCTGAACGAATATGGCGCTATCACTGAGGCACTCTGCGAACACCTCCCCGCCGATGTAGTACAGCCTCACCCCCCGCCCTGCCGGAACACCAGAGAGGCGCTTTTCACCTCACCTTCACTTCGTTATGAGATCCAGTCCGAGAAGCACGAGTCATCAGACGTGCTGCAATATTACTCTCAAAAGGTGATGATCTGCACTGAACATTGCATACAATACAGGGACCAGTCTTTGGTCTCTCCATTGACCGTCATTCAGCTATTCAGAGCAAATCAAAACTGCAGGTCCAAGGCCCCAGCATCAGTTAGAAAAATCATACCAAATCACTGAAGGCTACTTACAAAATGATCTTTGAAGGCTTTTGAGGACTTGGCACAGCAGCCAAGGATGCTATGCTGAGCTATACCCTACAGAGGGGCTGGGGGGCTGGCCGTACCTATGTGCCGGCGTGTCATCTCCACTGTGGCGTTGCGGTTCACGTTGGACAGCAGGCCCAGGCAGAAGCGCTCAGAATTGGAGGGGTCCGTGAAGCCATCCACCGTCAGCGACGGCTGCGAGGCGTGGAAGGTCTCGCCCACGCGCTGGTTCAGCTCGTAGTAGGCGATGGAGCACCAGAAGGCTGGCTCCGAGTACGTCACCGGCTGGAGGTCTGCCCAGCGCGGGAAAGACAGACACGATTCATTAGCTGCTTTCAGAGTCATTTTCTGCTGGTAAATTTAAGGGAAAATGAGCATAATTTCATTGGTTTTATTTCATATAAACGGCATGTTACCACTTCACAGAACGGACTATGAATAACAGTTTATCAGAACTCAACATTATAGCATTTTGCCTCTCGACAATGTCTTAGGTGAAATGGGGACCTTCTGTCACACAAGGGACACGAGAGAAGGCTCCTACCCAAGTTGTGGTTGATTGGTGAGAGTGTATTTGGCGACATTTCAGCAGGAGACCCTGAACACAACATAAGATAAACTATTACCATCAAAGTAACACATCATCTAGTCTGTCAGAGTTGCAGCTAAACAAAGCTAAAGGTACAGGCCAGGATCTGCCGTCAAAACAGTTAATTCAATATTGTATAATTGGATACTGCTCTGTTTAGAGGGGCACCACTTAATGTCTTTAAATCACTCAGAAGGACATTAATCACATTTCCTAAAACAACCACTGTACTTCTCCTTTTGTTAAGTGTACAATCTAAGAACAAAACCAGAACCCAAGCAGGTTATCTGAGGCTATTCAGCCAGTCCTGTTGGTCCCTGGTACCAAAGAACCTGATTGGCCAAGGAGTTACACCTGAGTCCATGCTGTGGTTCATCTGTTGGTCACTGGTTTCCCCATCCTCGCTGATATACCCGGGGGGAGGCGTCTCTGTCACAGAGGACACAAGCAGAAAATGACCATAAATACCATGACCAGGCTCTGGAAACCGATCACAGTCTAATCAATTGTGTTTACAACTAATTCAGTGTTTACAACTGACGTTCCTGTCAAGACAGACGTGCTACTTGGGTCGAGTCTGTTTCTCCAAGAACTGCAGTGTAGCTGTCAGACCTGGTATGTAATTGTTCGGGGGCTCGATCCCAGCTGGGAAGCTTGTGTTCTCAGGTATGGAGTGAGTGTAGTCATCCAGAGGGGGCAGCCCCGCCAGGATCTCCGAATGCCTTGGGACCAGGACGGGCGGCAAAACTGCGGAGAAGCAATCAGTGTATAGCTTCTCAGAACTTTGAGAAGTTTCTCAGACCAGCCTCCCCAAACACTGACCTCTATGCCAACATCTCCTGCCTGGCATCTCCACCAAAGCTCCCACCCTGTGCCCCTAGCTTAACTTGGGCTTCCACGTACCCGGTGTCTCCACCCGCTGGTAGTGGTAGGGATTGACGCACACCTCGTCCTTCTTAAGGTTGAAGGCGTACTGACAGGCCTCGACGGCACGCAGCTCGTGGTGGCTGTGCAGGTCGGGCCAGCGCCACAGGCGGCAGTAGATGACGTGGGGGAGGCCCTTACGGTGGGACACCTGCAGCCGCCCATCTAGGGACCTGGTCCCACAAAGGGAGGGAGGGGACAAGGCAGAGAGAAAAAAGGAGAGAGCGCGGGCAGAAAGAGAGGATGGGAGGAGGGGTGAAGCAAAGGGACGCAGGAAGGAGGGGTGATGGAAAACAAGGATGAATAAAGTGGGGGGGGGCACACAAGAGGGAAAACAGGAAAGGGGAGTGTCAAGGCATCAAGGAGGCATGGGTGTAGAGGAGGAGAGGGAGAGGGGAGAGTGACAGGAGATTGAGGCACAAATGGGGAGGAGAGAGGATAGAGAGATTACATACAACACAGAACAGTCTGGGACTTAAAGCAACCCTCCGTGTACATCCAACTAAACCGGCTGATCATCGGATCAGAAGAAAACCACTAACTGTGACTTATTCTGAGGGTTTTAGAAAACATCACACTGTTAAAGGCGACCACATAACGACACAGAACAGTGTGATGTCACCCAGGGACACACATTTTCACATTAACTTCTGTCACCGGCTCTCCGGTTTACATGTGAGGCCTCCAGATTTTTTATATCCGTTTAAAAGGAGCACGGATGACTAATGTAGAGGAGGTAAATCTGCAATGTGCCAGCGATACAGAGAAACACACCACTAAGATTTTGCTTCAGCAGCAGAACAAAATTCAGGTTGGGAATCCGATAGCAAGCCATAGCTGCGCTACTGATCCGGCACAGTAACATCGAAACCCACCCTAAAATATCAAATTATACATTTTAACGTCAATAGATTTTGTGTGTGTTTGTGTGCGTGTGTGTGTGTGTGTGTGTGTGCGTGCGTGCGTGCGTGCGTGTGTGTGCGTGCGTACATTAAGAAAATTCAAAATCACGCCAATAGAGTGGACTTTGAAATCCACAACATAATTCTACCAACAATCTCCTGGTATTAGAACACACTGCGGTATCTGAACATGAGTTATCAGGCCGTAACGTCAGCAAAGAGGCGGCAGAGAGGAAGCTGCACCGGGCTTCACAGATACTTCGCCGTCTATAAGACAATGGGGCGACAGATGGTGCAATGAGCAGAAGCGGGTTTAGCCCACTGGCTTCACTGAAGACGACCCGGCAGAACAAAGGACAGCCCATGGGGGAGTGGAATCCCAGGCCTCTCTGCCTTTATACCTCTGCTGTGATTGGGCTGTTTACCTTGAGGAGTCACACAGCACGACGGGCCTGGCTGAGCATGTGCCAGCTATGGGGGTACTATTAGAAATGTGACGCGTGGGCATCTCTCTGAAACATACCACCTTAATCTGACTGTTTTAAACCAATGTCAGAATAATCGCTTCATCATTTACAAGCATCTAAAAACCACGTCAAAATTCAGACTGGCAAATGAAGCGATGCATGTAACATGAACGAATATAGTTATTGTCCCCAACAGCCGTTTTGTGTGACCCAGTATTGTGCTGTGAATGACTACTGAATGATGAGTTTATTCCAGGCTGAACAATAATGAGCACAAAATACTGAAAACTTACCAGTACCTTTGTCACAATCAGAAAAATGGTTACAATTTTTCAAAATAAAATAAAGGCTGTAGGTCAGAAAATGCTGGTTAAGGATTATTATCACTGTGAATTAGCATGGGAAAATACAAGCAAACTCCCTGAAAATGACCAAAGAATAAATATTCCAATTAAGATCATCCTAATCAGAAAAATTCCAGTGAGATGTCCTGTCAGCAAGGATTTACTTGATTACGCTACAGTCACATACAAAACGTGGCAGATTTCAGAAAGCACATTAACAACAAAATCTTAACTACTCCCAGTTAAACTGATTAAATTGAATCATTCTCAGTTAATACAAGATTTGATCATTCAAATGCATTTTCACACGACACAGGAACCAAGATGCACACACAAGCACGAGTTCAAACTTAAGACAGCTCCCCAAATTTTAGTCATGCTTGACCTCACCTTAAGTTACAGCACAGTAATGCAGAGCTTAACCATTTTAAGGTGTTCCCTTAGAGAAATTGAGAATACCAATTTACCATCAATACATACATATATGTGCCAACTTAAAAAAAAAAGTTAGAAAGCGTTCAATTCTTCTGATTTTAGCCCTTCCCCAGCATGGCAATAAGCAGCACTGGACATGAGGATAGTCACCTGGTTTGGTCTGGGTAGCTGTGAAGGCCTGAGGCTTCCCACTGCTCTATGGTATTGGATGTACTCAGTCCCCACATTTCAGACCAATTGCTGTGCACAGGACACCGAAACAACAAAACAAAAACACACACAAAGAAAAATAAAAACGATAAACATGGGGCATGAGTCATTCAAAAATACAAAGATGACACAAGCATGGAAGAAACTAACACAAACAGGGACCCTCTTACTGGAGGCAGCTCTGGTGATGAGATCTGAGTTGTCACAAAGCTCTGCAACTTGGCTTCCTCAAATAAGAGAGTTCCTTTCAATGGATGATAGGGAAAAAATAGATGTATAGTGCGAGGGAACATCTCTGGAGGTTCCACTGAAATGATCAGATGTAAACCAGAACTTAAACCATTTCAGTGGCTCCACTCTGTGGGCACAACACTTGAGTAATCTACAAGACTCCCGAAGAAGTAGTGAACACAGAGCTTTTCAGGAGAACAGCGTTTTCCTACTAAAGGGCATGCATCTAACAAACGAATGGCACACAAACAAAACATGGAATGGTAGATGGTAAGAGGGAAGGTATTCATTCCAACCACTATTATCAAATGTCACAAATTTGATACCCAAAAATTTTTATATTAAATGTACAGTGGTTGGATTGAACATATGTTCTGGATGTGGTATGCCAAGAATGAGGTCCTGCCTTCTGATAGAATCAAGCTTATTGGCATGACCTCTGAAATGGGACTTGACCTGCATGTACCTAACTCAGAGGTCAATGACAGAGCTACGGTCATCCTAAGCTGACGAAACCCTTTTCACAAACGGTAGCCATCCGTGCCCCCTATTACTCAGACCAAATCTGACGTGTGCACAACATTTTGTTCTAAAAATAATCTGATTTTGTTAGCTATGCTATTACAGCAGACAAACATTTTTAACATTCAACTACCTGGTTTTTGTGCAGCTGACACCAAACATTTAATTTTCACATTAGCATGAAAACATTTTAAGCTTGGCATCCTCTACCTGCCTTTTCTGCAGGGGAAGCCTGGGTACAACTGGCAACTGGAACTTAAGTCACGTCACACTGCATCCTTATTAGAATACTACCTCTGTTAACCCCGCCACCACTGCAAATAGACCAGCCCTACTGCCACTAACAATGTCTGTCCAGGTTCATGTCAAGCTACGGCTTGACTCACACGTCATTTATGAGCCATGATAAGGACTGTTCAGCACAAAAGTGAGAACCTACAACCAATATTCCATTTGGGAATTAACACATTAACATCATCACTAACAGACTTAATTATAAAGTTTTACTTGACGGATCTTCTTTGCATCTGTGTTTGAAATGCACCCCCTCCCAAGTTAGGAAAGCAGTGATTCACTGGAAATCACTTTTAATTCCTACATCCTTCAGTACAAGGTTCACAGCCCACAATGTAGTAAATAATGCAGGGGCATTTCAGGCCACAATACAAACACTTAGAATGGACCTTCAGAACTCACACACAAATGCAAGTGTTCTGTTCTTTGCGATGGGAATGGAAATCGCCATCATTTCAATCGAATACATATATATATATATAACATGGAAATAAATATATATATATATAAAAGCTATAAAGAATCCGACAGAAAATTGTTCATTTTTGGGAAAAGATTAGGTTTTATGCCTAAAAGGTTTAAGGTTAACAAACTGACAAACTGGCAAGGTAAGCCATCTACTTCTTCACAAGGTAAGCTCCCTAACCCAACCCTAACCTCAATGAACAGGATTAATTACTGCAACTCATGGGTGATTTCAAATTATTAGTTGTTTAAATCTCCAAGTACCTCACCAGAGTAATAGGCAGACAAATAGCATCATGTCTTGTTCCCTACCCTACCATGCTTTGTTACAGGCAAACCACTAGCTTCAACAAAGTGACTATGGCACACTCCACAGACTAACGGATCCAGGCCCAGATCCAATCACGGCCCAAAACCCCAAGAATCCCAGATCCGGATGTGGCAGCAGCCCTACAGACGATGGCCAGATACGCTTCCAGGGCCAAGCAGATGCAGCTGAAGTGCCATACATTAGCGAAGCCAGGCTCAGATGCAATTGCAACGCCACACAAATGCAAGCTCAGGCTCAAGTTCAGCCGTGCAGTCAAGCGGGGCAGGGCTCCGGCAGAGCGGCCTACCTGGGGATGGTCACACACTTGGTGTTGCTGTTCTGGGTAGTGATGGCCTTCTCCAGCTCATCCAGCTGGCCCGTCTTCTTCAGCTTCTTCACCAGGCTCTTCACAGCCTTCTCGCACCACTTCTCCTCCTGGCCGTGCTGCTCGCCGCTGCCTCCGCCACCTGCCCCGACCCCAGAAGTGCTTGGCGCCTTCTTCCAGCCTAGCAGGCGCTTCACCACTGGCGGCGTGAAAGGCAGGATGGAGGACATGCTGGCTCTCAATGAGGCTGCTCAGTCACCAAGGACAGGAGATCCTCTTCAACTGGAGGGAACAGCGAGGCAGGCAAGCCTGGTGAGCTGGCGGGTACCTACAGAGACACGGGAGATCCCATTGTTCAAAATCAAAATATGCTTTATTGTCAACTTCAGATACAGGATCCATGAAGTCCTTCTCGCTGGACATAGTGCCCATGAGAAGCAATAAATACAATATAAATATTGAAACATATAAACAAAACATTTTAATATATACACCATAAAACACAGACAAATGAAGTACTGTTAACCAATACTTTTAACCAGCAGACTGGTGGGAAAAGTTCTTCTGGGGTGGGGGAACTGCCAATCACAAAACAAGCACAACTGTAAGAGTAGACAGGAGAATTGCTTCAGTCAATCTTTGCCAAATATTCCACTTGAAACTAGATACATCCAAAGATACCAGATGAGTATCAATCCTTAAAAACCCTCCATAACTTCCCCCTCATTTAGGCTAAGCAAAAACAAGGCTGAAGCAGAATGAATTTGCATATATTTTTTTTTTGTACGACTCAGAAACCCCATATCGAGCTGACAACAAGAGGTGACATTCTAGAAAGGAAAACTGCTAACATGTTCATCCAAACATTTGTTAATAAAACCCTCTCTTGTCAATGGGAGTCTATCTAATGAAGGAAAACAACTACAAAACTGCTAAAAATGGTCTCTGGCCCAGATGGTTCCTGGCTGAGAAGCATCTGGGGGTCAGCAATAAAGTCCAGGTGATCCAGCTGTTTGCAGTAGGTGACAGGATCATGAACAGGTGGCTGTCAGAACACTGAATCATGCAAACACATGGATCTGTGTTCTAGACAGTGTCACAGTCTGGATGCGTCTGGGTCCAACTGATGATCTGTTATCTGAATGCCAGATGGCCTGAGAGCAGGAGGCAGAAGGGAAAGCAGAAAAAAAGATCTAACAGTTGATAAATACTTATACACAAGTAGATAACTGACTGCAGGATCCATCCTCCGCTCAGCACCCTTTGCTACAGAAAAGGCTAACGAGGATGATTTTTAAATTTACAATCAAATAGAGACAATGATTGAATCACAGGCATGGGCATGCGGATTGTTCATATCAGTAGTTTGTACACTTAATGGCTAAACTAATTGGTGAAGACAATATGGAAGATCTTCAAAATATATCAATGCAAATCTCATTACTACTACACATCTTCCATGCCTCAGTTTATATTTTACTGTAAATTTGATAGGAAGGTAGGTCTAATTTTGTTTTAACATATAAACCTGAATTTTATCTCTAGAACGAACTTCTGTATTTAAATTCTATACCAGCTGAAAACAGGTTTAGGAATCATTTGCGCAGCCAGATAGAATTACAGCAAAGAGACATTTTACTGACCTTGGCTACATTCTGCAGAAATCAGACACCTTAGATATATTTCTAAAGTAAGAGTCAAGCATACAGTTCTCAGTTATAACACCAAGGTTTTTATTTATTTTATTTTTTTATTGACACATAAGTTATCCCAAGTGTACGCATGTCAGAGTAAATTATCACTAAAAGGAAATTCTGTGACTTACAACCCTACTGTCTTTTATGTGGGATCCAAGCTTAGAGTTTAAGCATTTCCATTTGGACTGACAGATGGTTATAAAACAAAACTCAATACAACAGTTAGCACCATCTGAGAACATCTCCCACAGGCGAAGAACTACTGACTGCTGAGTATTTTTGCTACTCATCATTTACTCAATGAGACTGGGAATAGTCTGACAGATAAGACTGAATGCAGGAAACAAAGAAAAACAAAGACTGATAAAATTCTCTAGTCTATGCAAAGGAGAATATTGTGACCAACAGCATGGAAACCTACAATCAAGTCCACGAACAGAACAAGAGGCAAAATAATTTAGATGGTTCCGCAACTAGATTCAAAAACTGAATAAAATGCTTCATTTGGTCCTGAAATTAAGGAAAATACTCAGGAAAAAAAAAACCCAACATGCAACACAGGATTTCATTTGATCTTTTGTTAGATCTGTAGGTACAGGTTCCAGATTAAAAAGGGGGGATTGTTAGGATCATGAAACATGCAGCCAGTTTATTTGATGTAACAAAAAAAGAAACCAAGAAGTAGATTATAGCTACATTAGTAGATATTTGTATTCAGAACTTTGTCATGAAATACATTCATAAAAGCACCACTTTTAAATAACACATCTGCTGATTATACTTCCTAATTATGAGTGGCAGGACTCCAAACTCAGCTAATTTGAGAATTGGGTGGGTCATATTACGATCAACTAGCTATGAGAAGCATGATAACATAGCCTTAGTATACATGTTTTAATCCAGCTACCTTTCCAGTAAAATGAAACAGATTTGATTTAGTAGTCTGGCTTTAAAGCCAGGCCATGGTCACTAGCAGGGCTATTAGTTTAGATGCTACAGTGTTTATGTTATAAGTTCTGGAACAGACTTATTAGTAAGACTCTTGTCTTCAGCTGGTACTGAATTTGACAACAGGGGCTCATAAATCACATGTGAAAACATGCGCTGGTAAAAGGAGGTAAATGTTCACCTATCCTACACCCAGCCCACCATATATGAAGTCTGTTGGAATTGCATCTACATGATAGTGACCTTATAGAGCTAAGTACTGTGGAAAAGCAGACTGGTAATCCATTCAATAAACAAGATTTAGAGTGTAACAATGACAACTGGATGAAACGGTCAGATTTTGTAGCTCACAGATTCAAAACTTTGATTCTTGATTTGCAGAAGCAAATCTTAGATTCACTTCCCTTTTGCATATGAATTTTAAAAACTAGAATCGTAAATTACAGCAACTCACTATTACCAATAAGACAGGGGTATTGACTGAAGGTATTACTTGCTGGAGAGGACCCAGTCATCAAAGATAATCCAGCAACCGGCAAACCCAAAATTACAAAGCTCATAGCTGGTAATTAGTTCAAGAGCTTTAACTGCAAAGTGATCTTATTTAATGATATTCTCCACCGTGGATTTGCAGTGATAACTGCAGAAAAAAGGGAGCTGAGATTCAAGTCATCATAACAAAAATCATAATAAATTAGTTCACATGTACTTGTTTTACATTTTAAGAAAAAAAATCAGATTAGTCGGGATGGAAGCCATTTAATGATTCAATGAACCTGGCAGACATCTATGGAAGCCTAATCCTTACTGCCTGGCCTTGTCTCTGAGTCATGGATTAGAATTATTTAGACTACTGGACTCATTTTTTGATAAGAGAAGCATCATATCACAAAGGGTGGACACAGTCTCTTCCTAAAAAGCCTAGATTTCTCCACAAAGCATTAGCTGCAAATAAAACCCAGGTATTCTATGTGCACCATGCTGACAACCAGCAACTCAGACTTTACTCTGCTGTAAATTTTGGCATTTCTTTGAATGAGAAATGGACCAGGGCACATTACAAACCGTGGGGTCTTCGGGGCCAAGTTATGTTTGTCAATCTTTGATAGCCAGGAGATCACAAATCACTGGGGCAGACGTGGATAACAATCTCATAAAGCTCGTTGTGTTTGCTGAGAAGCAAATTCATCTGTTTTGGTGACTTTGATGCCTAATATGGATCTGAATACAGTCACCCACATTTCCAAGTACAGTGTCCCCCAATTATTGGAGCCACTGAAGGTTTCTAAAGAGTGCTTTTGGTGGGGGGGCAATTTGTTCGAATGTGAAAGCAACATCCAGATGAATGATGAACAGTTTGTCCCACTGTGCTGGCATCACCTGGGCAGACTTTTGGTGCATCTGAAGTGGAGCAGAGACAAGCCGGCATAGGGCTCCAAGCGAAGTCACATCCTAGATTTCGCATGGAGCTACTTTGTACTTCTTGTAGCTACAGCGGATTGACAAAATGACAGACAAAGGTTAAATATTCCAACCAAAAGACAACATTGCCGGGGAGCACACGGAAAAGGAGTTAGAATCGCTAAGATGATGTACAGCTTTTGGTGTCTTGTATAAATTATAGTATGATATAGAGAATACTCAGTATATTTGACCAGATTTGCTTGGGCAGAAATAAAATCAAAGTATCACACTACTACAATACAAAATATACTCTACATAAGGATATACAGTACAATGTCATATTTGTGCCCTGAAACAGTGAGCAGGGGGTACTGCAGACAGGGTGAGCATTGTTAAAACAGGACACTTTCTGAAAATTTACCTTCTGGAAAAATGTACAGAATCATCTTAATGTCTTGAATCCCAACTTGATACCTTTTTAAATACGTTAATGTCCCCTTAACACTACATACAAGAGAAAATAAAGTATTACTAAACACATATATTAACTGCAAAGCTTAAATGTCCCATTTTGTCAGGTGCCCCATTTTCACAATACTCACCCTATGGTCAGTCAAAACAGACAGTTAACCTGAAGCCTGCATGTTTGAATTTCCTGGGGCGGTAAATAAAAATAGAACAAGGATAAAAATCAAGCTCCTTTGGATATAAACTGAGCTAAATTTCTTAGAACACTGAGCCAGTGATAGCTGTCTGCTCTACTGGTGTCCTCAGTTTTAACCAGAGACAGTGCAGTGGTTAAGGACACTGCATGATTACCCAAAAGATACAATTTCAAATACCAATTTGTACATATAATCGATTTTTAAAAAAGTAAGTCCAGCGCAGTATGAACACAATAACGGCAAACCTGGTTACCAGTTCCCACATAAAGACCCTTTTCATAACTGCATAAACACATAGTGGCAGAAACCCAGAAAGAATGAAAATGCAACGTATCATACATTTTCCAGTTGCGTTTCGGGGCGACATTAAGTAACAATCAAGAGCAGGCATTGTTCAAGCATGTGACAGGCATGCAAGCGGGAGGAAACAAGGCCTGGGAGAGGACAGCACATATCTCAGAGGAAAAAAGAACAATTAGCCGAAAAATAGCCTTATCCACATCTAACATTTTTTGC